GAAACGTAGGCATGAAGACTGAGCTAGCTACATGAAAAGCAGCTGCTGGGAGACTCTTCCAGGCCATAAACCAAGGGTTTCTTGGCAGAAGAGAAATTGGCTCACCCTCATAAGTTTCCACTCCCACATCAGAAGAAGGAGCCATGAATGTATTCAATATGAGCAGACCATCTTTACTTCTCAGTTTATGGGACAGAACTAAACAAGTTTTAGTGAACCAAGAGATGAAGAACAGATGCTGACATTGGATAAGACATACATTGAGAAAACCTGAGAATAATATAACTAGAATGTCTTTGCACTGGAACCCACAGAGGCATAGACATAAAGGAAGACCAAAAAACATGGAGAAGGGAGCTAGAGAGTGAAGTCAGAAAGATGGGTAGGACATGGGGAGAGCTGCACATGATAACGAAGAATAGAACAACATTTGGTGTGAACTGGTTGAGAGCCTATGCTCCAGTGGGGGTTAGAAGGGCAGAGCAACCTGAGAACAATATAACTTGAAAGTCTTTGCACTGGAACCCACAGGGGCATAGAAATAAAAGAAGACCAAAAAACATACGGATAAGGGAGCTAGAGAGTGAAGCTAGAAAGATGGGGAGAGCTGCATGTGATAGCGAAGAACAGAATGACACTTGGCGTGAACTGGTTGAAAGCCTATATGCTCCTTTGGGGTTAGAAAGGCAGAACAACCTGAGAAAAATATAGCTAGAATGTCTTTGCACTGGAACCCACAGGGGCACAGAAATAAAAGAGGACCAAAAACATATGGAGAAGGGAGCAAGAGAGTGAAGTTAAAAAGATGGGTAGGACATAGGGAGAAATGCATGTGACAGTGAAGGATAGAACGACTTGATGTGAACTGATAGTTGAGGGCCTATGCTCTATTTGGGGTTAGAAAGGTACGAGAAGAAGATCTTTACTTCTCAAGATGTTTCCTGTACATAGTTTTCTGACTAGATCAGCCTGAGAACTCAAGTTTGAGTTGATCTGAAGAACAGCTTTATTGTTCTGGGTTTTTCCCCATAGGGCTCGGTCACTTTCCGACAAAGGACTAATTGTCTGCTGAGGACATCACATACTATATGAACGTCATAACTTGCCTACCGATCCCCAGACATCTGATACCTCAACAACAACACACACAAAAACTGCACTCGTGAATGTAAAGAGGTGGTCAGTGAAATTAACCCATGACTTAAGAGAGCCAGAGGCAAATAAACTGACCACTTCATTATTTTTTTTTAAATATCCAGAAACCATAAGTTGTTAACCCTTTGGCTCGGTACTATGGATATCGCAACCCTTCAGCCTGGATTCCACGATAAATACAGTGTATCTGGGAGATATGTGGCTTTTCTGCCTAACCCAGACCACAAGGAGTTCATCACTTGGTCGCCGCACAGTTCGGTTTAACCAACTACTTCGGGCAACTACTTCATCAGTGAACATCGTGATGCAGTTTAACGACCAATGACTTTTTGGCAACTGCTCTACCACAACTAAGATGATTGTCCTATTGGAGCTCCATCTTTTGAAATAACATTTCCTTTAAGTCGGAGTGCATCTGCCTGAGAGGCGGGGAACCAACAGTCTGCTTACAAATAAGCCAGATTTGTAGAACGGATGTGCATGATAAACTCAAATTCTGGAACAAGATTGAAGTCCAGAAGAGGAGAACAACAAGAACTTTCCTCCAGAGTTTACAGCTGGAGAATGCGAAGAAGAAGAAAATTAAAAAGAAATAACAGGAGAAACAAACTCACAGGTGTTAAAGACGATATTCAGACAGAAAAAACAGAAAAGTAGAAACATGAGCCTAAAAATAGACAGAAAGGAAAAAAAAAACCTGAAATACAGACAGGACATATAGTCAGTTAAAAAGACAGATAGCAAGATAGATAAATGGATTGGTGGGTGAAAGGACAGATGCTTAGAGGAAAAAGACAGATGCACAGAGGAAAAAGACAGACGCACAGAGGGAAAGACAGACAGCAAGACAAAGAAAGAAAGAAATACAAAAGATGGGTGGGTGAACAATCAGGAAGAGGAGTCACAGACAGTGTTGGTAATCTCTTGCAGACAACCTTGACTGTGGAGAAGGCACTTGACTGATTCAGATTACAACTTTTAAGACCTGGTTTGAAACAAGGAATCTGTATTTTCATTACATTATATATCCAACAAACATACCTAAAATCCAACAAAAATGTACGTAATACAGTCAACACAAGTGTACGTCAGGGTTTCCGAAACCTTAGTTATGGATGTACATCTGCCGCTCAGGCAGATGCACTCTGACTTTGAAGAAGCCCCAAGTTAGTCAACTGCTACGAAACACTTGTTGGGGAGGCAGTAGGCCTACTCTTATTTTCCTCACAGTGGGATCCCCAGGGGGAAGGGATGTATTAATTTCAGCCCTTGATTAGCGCAAGTATTTGTAACAAGAACTCTTCACTTTTCGGTCCCTTGGAATTCATGTTAGCGAGGTTTTGCTGTGTATGTATTTGCTTTCAGCAAAGAATAATAATAATTATTATTATTACTGCACATTTAAAGAAGGCTCAAGCCCCTTAGTTCCACAGACCCACTTTACAATTATTATGTGTGCTGAAGTTAGCCCTACCCCTCCCCCCCCCCAATGTAATAGCGCATCCGGCATATATAATACAGTTAGTTGCATATCTATTAAAGGACTTTGCAGAACCAACCTCAGCATTTTTTGGCTGTTGTGGTTTTTCTAGGCAAATAAACGTCCAATAGTTTGCCATTGCTTTCTGGACGGTGGGCTTCTCGATACCACTGTCGAAAGCAACGCCCGCAGCTGGGATTGAACCTGGCACCCCGGCATTACGAAGCGCTTTCGTAACGTAAGCCACAGACATATATAATACAAGCAAACATAAGTTATTGTGCTGTTTTATCATTCAATGGTTAAAGTACATCATAAAAAACATTTTAACAAAGGGAGGTAGCTTTTGTTTAGACAACTGTAGTTATCTCCCATTGAATGACTACTACCAAAATGTCCCTAAAAAAGTGTGATAATGGATACATTTTACCTAGTCAAAGATCCCACTTCACAGCAAAGGAGGCAGTTCACAGATGCTGTGTTCGCGTGCCAGTGGACAAAAAATTCTCTATACCTCACACCGAAAGGCATTATCTTTTAACAAACATCAGTGGTATGTCTACTTTGTTTTTCTTCTTTGCACATTGTGTATGTAGGAAGTATGCAAGTACATAGATATGTGTGGCTGTATGTGATTATGCAAGCATATGTATTTGTCACATTGTGGTCTTAAGCCCGTAGTTAGTATTTAATATTTTATATTTTACGTATACTGATATAAAAACTGAATACACATAATATATAAAATACAACTCCTGTGTGAATGACGACAAGTGGTTGGAAGGGCTGAATGTAAGATGGGGCCTGATTGCCCCCAAAAAATAAACTTATGACCCTTGAAAGGAACCACTTACGGAGGTAATGTCCAGTGATGTTTGTTTTAGTATCCAGAAGCCATGAGTTTTTAACCCTAGGCTCAGTTTTATAGATAGATATCGCAACCCTTCGGCCTTGATTCCATTGTAAATACCGTCAATCTGGGAGAAAATGTGGCTTTTCTGCCTACCCCCGGGAGTGAACCCGGACCACAAGGAGTTAGTCATCCGGTCACCGTGCGGTCCGGTTTAGCCAACTACGCTAGAGAGCTGGGCATGTCCAGTGATAAAGGCAGCTGGTGTAGTGTGTTTATAACATCACCCACTGTGTGTTAACTGGTCAATCTTCTGGAAAGTTCTGGTGGTTCATCATCTTCTGGACTGCAGTCCTGTTCCAGAACCTGCGCGTACATTTGTTTTACAGACCTGACTAATTTGTATGCAGACTGCTGGTTCTGTGCCTCTTTGTCAGATGCACTCTCACTTTAAAGTTTATGTTTTTCTTCAGAGAAATAGAACACCTATGACATAGATTTAATCACTCTCTAAAGGGGTTTTGTGTTAAACCCGGTTTCTCCATGTTTTTGGAGTGTTAAAAGCGCTGGCGTGCTGAAATATACATGTGATATCAACGGCATTTAGGAACACCCCCCGTAGCAGTGTGTGAAGGTTGCGAGGCTCAGGAACTACCAATCAGAAGTGAGCTAGTGTGTATATGGGCGGTCTCTGGGGGGACTATCGTGAAACTAACCATGCAATTTTACATTCAGTAGTTTGTCATTGCGTTCTAAGTGGTCAACTCTCAATACCACTGTCGAAGCAATTGCAAGGTGGTCTAATGCCAAATCGCCTGCAGCTGGGATCAAACCTGGCACCTGGCAACTCAGCATTATGAAGCATGTTTGCAACGCTTGAGCCACAGAACAACAAACACTCAATGGGCGACAGGGTCAACTTCGTGCCAGCCGCCTTTACATCCCAGGACTTTACCTGATACTTACTTTAGGCAGGATCGACCTGGGAGCCAAGGTCATTTTTGTAGAGAGAAAAAAAAATCAAACCCAAGACTTTTGGGCTTGAGGGGAAGCATCTAGCCATTATACCACAACAGCTCCATTTCTGGAGCAACATGAAGATAATTCAAATGATTACTTCTTTCTCTAATCTCATCATCCCCCTCCCTCTCACAAAAAACACTCTTCATCTTTCTCACATGTATTCTTTTGCACACATACACATTCTTTCTTTCTCTCAAACAGTCTCTCTTTTACATAGACATTCTCACTCTTGCAAGCATACACTCTTCTCTCTCTCTTTCTCCTTTAAGCTTATCTCAACTAAGAACATTTAAACTGTAACTTAATACCTCAACATGAAAAGACAGAGGGTATAACCACACTGCAACAGATAATGGGAGTTAGTCCGGTATTTTGTCAAGTGTTTTGAGACTCTAAACTGTTAACTATACCTCATTCTACCACTAGCGGGCACATACTTTCTCTGTGGCTAAATCTGTTTTCTACAAAATTGTTGTTTTGGCCTTGAAGATGCTATATCCGTGTCAACTTGCCAGCATGACATGACACCACCATGACATCCCTGGTATCCGTAGTTTGAGGGTTCTGTTGGTTGCCTCCTAAAATTTTCTCTCTCCTTCTCTCCTCTGCTCGTCGCTTCTTATCCAGTTTTTTATTTTCCTTGACCTTTCTTTGAGACATCTGAAATCAGAAAAGTTCAAATCTTGAGTCATTTATCTGGAAAGTTCTGGGTTTTCGTCCACCTCTAGACATTAGTCTTGTTCCAGGACCTGCGTGTTGGTGTACGCACATCCATTTTACAGATCTGACTTATTTGAATACAGACTGCTGGTTCCATTCCTCTCAGGCAGATGCACTTCGACTTCAAAGGAAACACTACAGTTAGTTGACTCTTATGACATGCTGTCTGGGGCGGCAGTGGGTATATTCTTGTTTTCCCCACACAGTAGAGTCATTTATGAACATTAACGTGTCTGTATTAATTTAATATTAATAATGTCGAACATTAAGCTGGCAGTAGACAACAGCTTGCTCAAACAAACAATAAGAATAGAAATCAGAAATTAAATGTTTATGATGAATCTTAAATGCAATAAGAAGAGATGAGGTACAGGGGTAGTAACCCATAAGTGCTCCATTCTTCTTCTAACTCAAGTCTGAGTCCGAGGAAGCTCAGCACAGTGCACAGGCTCTGTAGCACTTGCGAGGATCCTGAAAATACTTTGGTTAGACTTTTAACTCCAAATTTTGCCCGGGCAGCGCCTTCAGGCTACTCTTTTTGATTTTCAACTGCCAAGGGATTTTTTTTATGTGCACAACAATGCACATGTAAGTCATATCTCCCTACCGAGAGACCAGGGGGAATTACTAGAAGTACAATTCTACATTAAAATCACAGCCCTTACCAGGACACCTGGCCTCGAGACCACCCAGCCCAGAGATATGATCAGAAATGATTATAGCAGGAAACAAGCTCGGATGGAGTCAGAGCAAAACTGCACCCAAAAAAAAAGATTGAATGGTTAGACATGTGCCAAGACTACCTCAAGATAGGGCACCCGAGAGAAAGCACTGTTATTAAGACCCAATAAAAGCACAGCTAGAGGTTTCTCAAACAAGTCAAAGATCAGGGCCATTCAACTAACTTTACTTGGGGACCAACATTCTGGAAAATAGGGATAATCGCGGACCAGAAGCTTGAGACCTAACATATTAATTAATCAACTAACAGAAAGTGTACTGATCGGCACTCATAGAAAGAAGTAGAAAGATAGAAGAACACACTAGACGACATAAAAATCGAAATCTATAGTTACCGTGCCGGGAATTGAACCTGTCACCTCCAGACGGCGTGTGCGCCTCGCCATGAATACAAGTGCACTAAGAACATGGTCAACTAGGCACCCCATTATTTATAGACCTAACATAGAAAGATAATTGATACAATACAACTGGCAGGTGATCTAAGGGCCACTCGCTAGGCCTCTGGGAAGAGATTTAGTCTGTAGGCTGCTGGTTGAATAGCCCTGCCATAGTTTGATGGAATATTTGAGGCTGTGAATACCAGCATCTATGTAGCACATACCAGGGCTCACACGAGATGCTGCTTCAAAACCTGAGGCTGAAAGACAGAAGGGAGTCTAGAGAAAAGAAAGAAGTTGAATAACAGTTAGGTACTATTAGTGAATCATGAAATCAGATGAATGCTAGGAATAAAGCCAGTCTTACAGGTCATCAAAGAACAACAAATGAAGTGGTTTGGACACCTAACAAGAATGCCCTGGTACTATCGACCATAGAGAGCCACACTAAAATGTTACAAAGAGTATAGAGCGAGTGGAAGACCTCGGAAAATATGTAGTGGTGGCGTTAAAAACAGCCTTACAGAAATGAACATCAGTCTTAATAGTGCTCTTGACAGAGCTCATCAACGAACATTACATCTCCCCCCGACACTTCGATGAGGTACAAGGTGGAAGAGAAGAAGAAGACAATTTCTTTTGCTGTTTAACCAATCTTTGTTGTTCTATAAAATAAAGCATCTAGAGAGAATGATGCAGTGAGTAGTGTTTGCAGGCTCTGGGTGTCTTGAAACTCAGGGAAATGACAACAAGTACCATCAATATGGAGACTCTTTGCTGGCTGTCGAGGACTGTCATGTACCCATAGTCCATGTGTAAAGGTAAAGGTGAAGTCGGGAGATGTGAACCAGCGTCACTGCACATGGTTATAAACCATAAGTGCTCTGCCACCAGTACGGACAGCTGATAAGAATTGTCCGCCTGTGTCGCAGTTCGCACGTAACTCTCTAGCTACAGCAACGTTCCTCAGTTTACCCCAGAGTGTCAACTCTAGTACCCATTTCCTAGAGGCTGGGTGAACCCCGGGAGCCGCCCGGTTTCAAACACCGACGGTGGGCTGCAGCCAGTCGCAGCTTGATTTGAAAGCGAGCCTCTTATTGACTGCGCTAACGCGGCCTCTGTGTGATTGTACAACATGAGAGCAAGTAAGATGGTGGTTAATGTAATCAGCTTAGTGAAAGGAAGTTACCCACAAAATACCTAGCAGGTTTTTCCTGTTAGGATGAAGTGAATGGATACAGATGGGACATGACAAAGGAGAAAAAGGTTTAGGGGGTGGGGGGAGAGACTTCGAGGGTAAGACTGACAGTTCTTCGACTCTGCCATTTGCTGAGGTGATATGATGTTCCTTATTTGGTTTTCTACATGCCGATCTAGTCAACATATCGGAAGGCCAATTGCTCTAGGAGTGTTATGACATGCCTTTGTTCGCTGTGTGTATACAACGTGCCAAGAAGTGTCTGGGCTTCATTCGAATGGGTCGACACACTTTCTCCCAGATGAAAATGAGCAACTCTTTTTTTATGACTCTTCACGGGTCAGATGCAGCAATACTGACAGGTCAAGGAAATTCATGTCAAAGATCAAGACACGAAGTAAGAACAGCACTTCCAAACAGGACAGAGTGAGGGTGACCGATAAACGAATGAAAGTAACACACACTGAAAAGAATCGACACATGACACACCAAGAATAAAGCAGTGTTTTAGAGTTAGTGTTAAATCCCAACTGTGCCTAGGTAGTTGCTGTTGTCAAAGACATCAGCATCGAAGCTTGCGCTGCGGTTTGGACTACCACTGGTGCTAACGCAGGCAGACGTGTTCCAGATTCCACTGTCATCTGTGGAAGCTGGTTGAGACATCATCGATGTGGTATCATCTGACAGGAAAAACATAAAACTGATAAGTTAGCCTGTATGTTTCTCCTGTGGGCTGCGTTTTTCAGGGGATTAAAAATAAGAGATCTACTGTTCCTTATCAAGCACGTCGCATTAACAAAACAAAAAAATTAGGACTTGCTGATCTGGATGTCATCATCATCATAAACCAACTTCTGCCGTTAAGTGTTGTAGGGAGGAATAATTTGTGATCCAGTGCATGCTGGGTGCCACTGGCTATTGTCTTGTTGTGAAGGTCTAGATGTCTTTAATGTTGCTGATCCATATTTTTTACTGCCGTCGTCTTGCTCTTGTAGCTGATCTTCAGAGATGAAGTGCCTGTGATGGTATTTGATCTTGCTGCATTCTTATGAGATAGCCAAACCACTTGATCTGCTGTTTCTTGATGAATCTAGTACAAGGTGTTGTTCCACAATCTGTCTGTATCATTATTAACTCGATCTCTCATGGTTAGGTTAGCAGCTTTTTACAGGCATCTCATCTTGCAAGTGATAATTTTGCATACATGAGCTTTAGATTGGATGTATTAAACTTCTTCGCGTTCACCGGCTGTAAATTCCGGCCGAAAGTTCTGGTTGTTCATCCACTTCTGGACAGCAGTCCTTCTATTCCAGAACCTGAGTGTTACATGTGCATCTGTTTGACAGATCTAACTAATTTGTATGCATGTAGGTTCCTTGCCTCTCAGGCAGATGCACTCCAACTTCAAAGGAAGCTCCCAATTAGTTGACTCTTACGACATGCTTTTGGGTAGGCAGTGATTCTATTCTTGTTTTCCCTATAATAGGGTTCCTGAACCCACATGGGGAGATGTATTTGACCAAACTTAGGCCTGTCCTGGACAGAGTAGCCAATCAAACTTAGGCCTGTCCTGGACAGAGTAGCCAATCAAACCTAGGCCTGTCCTGGACAGAGTATCCAATCATACAAAGGCCTGTCCTGGACAGAGTAGCCAATCAAATCTAGGCCTGTCCTGGACAGAGTATCCAATCAAACTTAGTCCTGTCCTGGACAGAGTAGTCAATCAAACCTAGGCCCATCTTGGATAGAGTAGCTAATAAAATCTAGGCCTGTCCTGGATAGTCGCCAATCAAACCTATTCCATCCTGGATAGAGTAGCCAATCAAATCTAAGCCTGTCCTGGATAGAGTAGCCAATAAAACCTAGGCCCATCCTGGATAGAGTAGCCAATCAAACATAGGCCTGTCCTGGATAGAGTAGCCAATCTAACATAGGCCTGTCATGGATAGAGTAGCCAATCAAACCTAGGCCCATCCTGAATAGAGTAGCCAATCAAACCTAGGCTTGTCCTGGACAGAGTAGCTAATCAAACATAGGCCATCCTGAATAGAGTAGCAATAAAACCTAGGCCATCATGGATAGTAGCTAAATAAACCTAGGCCCGTCCTGGACAGAGTAGCTAATCAAACCTAGGCCATGCCCTGATAAAGTAGCCAATCAAACCTAGGCCCTCCCGGCCCTGATTCCAGGTCTCCGTTTTAGACAGAAAAATAGACTCATAGCTCTTAGACAGACATATCACAAAAAGGGATTCATTTAGGTTTAATTCAAATCAGATGTGTTAAGCTGAAAGGTGCAAGTACCACTGCCTAGCTGAAAACCACAACACAACATGCCAACAACCCTTTTAAGAGCAAATGCACAAGCATGAGAAAACCTAGGCCCATACCTTGATGAGCCTCACTGGTCATCTCCAGCTGCTGCAGCAGGTCAGCGATGGAAGCATCCACATCATAATCACACTCACTGAGCACCTGTCTGATCCTCTCCATGTCCTGTGAATAAAAGGAAGCATATTCCTCTTGGTCAACCACAGTGTTAGACAAAACTGACAATTTACTGCCTACCAGATACTGTTGTTTTAAATACAAAACATAAGAAAAGATTATTACAAAACAGTGGCAACAATTATCTACTCTATCTCTTTTGTACATAATCTCAGAAGAGAGATGGGTACATAACCAGGATTCTTCAGAAGAAAATCTAAGAAAAAAAACCCCATTGTTATACACTGTAAGGCAAGAAAATGTCGTTATAACTTTCTGAAACTCTGTCATAAGTAAACAGAGGTAGAGATGAACTCTGAAGTCTTGGTTAGTTTTGATAAAAATTCTCCATGTGTGGGTTCCGGCGCCAAATTTTGGGGAAAACAAGAATAGACCCACCTCCTTCGCAGCAAGCATGTTGTAGGAGTCGACTAACTGGGGACTTTTTTGAAGCTGGAGTGCATATGCCTGAGCTGCAAGGAACAACTAACTGCACACAAATAAGTCAGTTAAATGGATGTACATGCAAAACTCAGGTGCTGGCACTAAGCCAAAGTCCAAATGGATGAGCAACCAGTGAACAAAAAAAAAAAAGGTGCACAAAGAAGAAGATAAAAATTCTGGGTTAAAAAAAAATCCAATCGAATAATTAATATAATTGCATATTTATAACTACACTGTTTTACCTGGGGTAAAAATATATATAAGAACACATGACATCTGTGGCTACGGTTCTGTGAACTCACATCGTAATGCCAGGGTGTTGGTTCGATCCCAGGTGCTGGTGATTTATCAGCAGAGTCTTGCATTGGTTTTGACAGTGGTACCGAGAGCTGACCGTTTAGAGTGCAATGGCAAAACTACTGAAAGTAAAATCTGCCTAGAAAAACTACACAGCCAGAAAATGCTGGGGTTGGGTCTACAACATCCTGTAAAGAATATGTAACCAACAATTCCCCCAAAATAAGACGCAATTTGTGTGTATTATTCTAAAGCCCCATGACAGCTGTTGCCAGGGGCCCTTATATAACCTAATTGTTGAAGAGGGTTTCTGGAACTTGTGCCTGCAAAAATTATCATATGAATGAGTGCACTTTGTGTCACCAGGTGTTAATCACTTGTTGTGTGGTCCTGATGGGGTTAAACATCACACTCATATAAGGGGAAACAATCAACAAAATACAAAAGAAATGAAGGTTTAAATTAATACATTCCCTTGGTTTTAAACACATTTTCTTTATAATACAGCTGATGAAAGCGAATATTGAACTTAAATTTTAAAAAGTATTAAAGTTTCATTTATGAAATAAGCTTTGATTTAAGACGCAAAAATAATTAAGGCGTAAAAAAAAACAAAAATAATTTATTATATAGTTTAAAAGTGTAAGTTAACCTATTTATTCAGTCTCAAGACTTAGTCGGGGTTTTAACCTCACTGCAAGCCGGTCACACAATACTTGCTCCATTTCTGTGCCACTTTAAAGTCAAATCAAATTTCCCTCACTGTCCCATTTGAAAAACTGGTGATCAAACATTTGTCCCGGCACAATCCACAAAAATGCACACGCAGTAATTGCATATGATGGTTGCCAGAGATGCCAACAGTCACCACCAGAAATGCAGTTTGTTTTTGATGGAAATACTCGGTCCCAATTAAGACGACTATACACACATAAAATTATTACATAAGGTATTTCACCAGCCTACACGTTAACCGACTACAGGCCATTCCGTCCAAATGTGGAAACTGCATTAGCAAAGCACTGTTGGAAACAAAAATAACTCCAAAGCTAAACTTTCTGTGATGCCTAGTCCTCCATTTTGGACAGGAAGACTTCTCTTTATTTAATTCATCTACAATTCTCTATTACAACAAACAAAAGCATGGGTGCCTTTGAGAGTAATATATATTATACATGTACGTGCAGTGTGTCTGTGCATAATTACTAAACACAGATAAAGGTTTCGACCTCTGACAAGTTAAGTGTGGATTATATATTGTTTGTAAACCAAAATCATCTTAACATTGCACAGTCACAAACAGTACCACAGCCAATTTACACTCACAGAAGAACTTGCCAATGCTTGAATGCCATTTGTAATGGACAGTAAGGTTAAGTTTATACATTTCTTGGGGCAAAAGTAGAGAAAGAAGATTATTATGGCCTGGAGAGAATGAGGCACCTGGGTGTAACCAGAGAATCTGGCCGGCTCACTACACTCAGAGGAAAGGCAAGACAGACTTTTAACCAGATTGTGACCGGTGCTATCAGTATTGGAACTTTGCACTGGCTGCTGAAGATGAGGACGAAGCATGCATGGGAATGCCCGGAGCGCTGTGATGTCAATTCTTGACTCAACTCAACTCGGGGCAAAAGAAGTTAACATAAAATAAAAAAAAATAAAAAAATAAACTCATACACACAGAGAAAATATACGACCATAACCCACAGTACAATTTACTGCTAGACATACAGAGTTAAGAAAAGTGGTAACTATTAGTCAATATAGGAAAATGCAACCAGAAAACTATGATGTACAATACAATTTGCAGCCAGGGAAGGGGATAAGAAAACCCAAAATGTATACCTATGGTGTACCATACAATCTGCAAACAATAATAGACATAAGAAAAACAAAAGCTACAACTCTGATCTACAATAAGAAAGAGTCTATGTGGTTAAGTAATTAAGCTGTTTGCCTTGTGCTCTGACAGCTGTAGGTTTGACCCTGCTCTTTAATGTGTTGTAGTTTTGGAGTCCCTGGGGCCGTTGTCAGAGCTATGAAGTTTGTGCAAGGCTCTTGCGGGTGACTTGTCACGCTTAAAAGAAACAGAGCCTTCTCGGATAAAAGTCAGATGCCACAAAGCAGTTCCTTTTTTGTGTGTGTGTGTCCGCAAACATTTTAATAGTTAAGGTCTCCCTTTAACATCAGCGTCGCACTGGGCATATAAAGCTATGCTAGACTCGTATTTTTACAGACCCCTCAGCGCCCCGTCAGTGATGTGGTCAACATCCCATCAGCCGCCACTACTTTTCAGGAGATCACCTGGTACCCGTGTTGGGCTGGTGCAACCTGGGAGCCAAAATAAACTTTGAAGAAAAAAAAAACAGTCCGTCTTAATGTGAACCCAAGACCTTCAGGCTGCGAGTCTAGTCTCCACAGCTCTCCTTCTTGCTTAAAAAAATTGTTAAATTTACCTTCAGAAAATAAGAAAACAAATAAAATAAATAAATAATCTGACAGCTATGACTTACCGTACAATTTGTCGCCAGAGCCACTTCAGTTTCAATATCCTCGAGACTTCTTTTAACACACACGAATCCATCAACAGGGTCATGGCCAATCTTGCTATGATGGCCCATATGTGGGTCTGAATCCTGGCAAATGTCAACATGTATACATTTAAAAATAATATATAGGCAACCTTGCCACAAATATCACCAAGCAATGTATATACATAAGGAGTCAAGTCGAGTAGTCAGTGCGAGTTCCGGTACTGACGATGCTAGTAGCAGTCTGATTGTATATCTGTCTTGCCTTCTGTCTCAGTGTCGAGCATCAGCCTAGTGGAGTTTAGTCAAGGAGGAAAGACCTTAGCATGATATCACTGATGTGCCACAATGCAATGGAGATGAAATCATTACAACTTTTTTTTCCACAGCATTTCTGCTGCTATTTGATATTTCTCAGTCCATCTGCTAATCGTTCAAAAGAAATGAGTCATGTTTATGTCACTATTATAAGGCAACAGTAGAAAACAATAAACATAAAACAATAAACATGAGACACCAACATAAAACATCACCATAAGGAACTAACAGACAACACCAGCATAATACACCAACATACCAAAATATATTGTCAACAGAAGACTTTAACATAAATACCACCATGAGACACCAAAAGAAGACTCTCTTACAAAAAAGGACTACAGAAGACACTAAAAACACCAAAAGACACATACAGGAGACATCAACAGAAGACACAGAGAGAAGGCACCAACAGAAGACTGACAGAAGACACCAAGGGCCCACACAAAAAGAAGACATCAATAGAAGATAGTGACATAAGACCCCCAAAAGGAAACACCAACAGAAGACACAATATAAAATGATAAAGGAAGACAACAAAAGAAGATATCAACCAATGTCACCAAGAAAAGAAACCAATACAAGACACTAAAAAACACAACAGAAGACACTAAAAAAAGTTACCAACAGATGACACTAAAAAGACACCAAAATAAGGCACCAACTTGCAGGCGTATGTGAGCGGGAGATTCTGTGTTGTCATCAACTTTCCGAACACTACTGTAGTGATCTCCATTGTGGTAGGCCAAGTGCAACTGTCGTGTGTTTTCGTTGCTCACAGTTGGACCTTGAATCTTGAAATAAAGGAAATCAACAGTGACAGAATGTATTTATTTCCCTGCTAAATTTTTCTTCTTGTTATCTTGCCTTGGAGGGGCAGTTGGCACATTATGTTGTGAATAAATGAACAAACTTTATTTTCAAAGGGTCACAAATTGGGCACTCATTCGGGCCTTCCAAACACTCACCTTCCACACAGCAATTCTTTTTATCAATAAAACATGTTATGTTCATATAACAATATGCATAATGTGAACATCAAGACTGATGTCTTGATGTCCGTCTTGACTGATGTCTTGATGTCAGTCTTGACTGATGTCTTGATGTCAGTCTTGACTGATGTCTTGATGTCAGTCTTGACTGATGTCTTGATGTCAGTCTTGACTGATAGACATGGGGGTGCAGCCTGGAGCTGCAAGACATGAAAATTTCACTAAGGGGACAAGACTTTACATTAACCAACACAGAAAACGTGTCATCATTCATTTTACACTTGTGGAGCTTTTGAGGAGGAGATCAGAGCTCCTATGGATCTGTCCGGAGTGCTGTGATGATAATCCTTTCTAATCACTAATCACATTCACTCACTTACACACATACATACCATACAACCACTCATACGAACAATACACTCTCATATCCAGGGTATACCCATACATATACTCTCATACAGATACATACATATCAAACCCACACATTCATACACAATCATGCATATAGACACTTACGTATACTCACAAGATCATACATAAACATTTGTTCACATTCAAACAAACACATGTACACATAATCTTGCATCCACATATGTAACATACACATGCTTGCATCCACATATATACACATTCACACATACCCATATGTGTGCTTTATAACTAGGCTGCGATATCTGCACTTTTCAACCCCCCTCCCCCCGCCCCCAATTCCAACGTCAACAAACTCTTAATTAGTAACCTCTCACAACATATTTGCTAACAGGCAGTCTGTGTATTCTTTTCTTACCCAAACTGGGGCTTGGGAACCAACAAGGGCAGAAGGGATAAACTGACAATGCAAATTTCTGTTTCATGTAACTTTAGTAAATATGATAACTGCAAATAGCTTGGACTGCCAGAATAACTAACAATGATTGCCTGGAAATGGCTAATGAAAGTAGAACATTACATACAACAATGATAAGGAGAGAAACAAGTTCTTTGGTCATGTGATGAGAAAATGAGCACTGGAAAATAGTGTGATGACTGGAAAGATCAGTGGTAGTAGAAGCAGAGGCAGATCAAGAGAAATGATGGTGGATGACTTAAGATAGCAGCATGGAGGAATATCATCAGTGGAGTTGATCCAGAATACCAAAGACTGAGATCTGTGAGGATGCATGAATGCCTACGCCAGACAGCAAGGCACCTGATAATGATGATGATGACAATTATTCACAATTGTCGCAGTAATTTTTGAGAAAATTAACGACCATTCATAAAGGGATCAGTGGCTTCCACAAACATGACTTTGTAGTGGCAGACTATCCCTGTTGGTATCTATAACAGCTGCCTTATACATTTGCAGCATGTGCGAGCTTGTGGATTTTGCAGAGGCTGATCTTTTCCAAATGAAACAATGAACAACATTTCATGAGATTTTCAGTGGCATCGATAGAGAACAACAACTATGGCTGTAACAAGGGCATTAGCATGGCTTGGTACTCCAGAGTTCACACACATATGCATTCTAAGTAACTCGATAAATATGCTTAAAAAATCCAAACTGGATTTATCAGGCAAGAATTGATTGCAACACTTAGCACTTCACGAATAGCTGCCCTGAGTTTTATCTTTGTGCCAGGTCATGCGGGTGTTCAAAGGAACATGCAGACTATCTTGCTGACACTGCGGTTGCTATGGCTGGTCCAGTAATGGACAGAAGTGATGTTATCAATGACATGCGCTGCACTTACTGTACCAAGAAGCATACCAAAGGAGATAACTCTATTCCTGTCTAGACTGATGGACATGGGGGTGCAGCCTGGAGCTGCAAGAAATGAACATTTCACTAAGGGGACAAGACATTTCATTAACCAACACAGAACAGGCGTCATCAGTTGTTTTACACATGTGGAGCTTTTGAGGAGGAGATCGAAGCACCTATGGATCTGTCCGGAGTGCTGTGAAGATAATCCTTTCTAATCACTAAATACTGGTATGATCCATCTGCCACGAAGTTGGGACTGCAGAAAATGACCGGCTGCACTAAAACTGTCTAATTTACACAGACTGCTAAACAAAAACTCACCATGAGCGGCTGGCCGTTGAGCTGATGAATCACAACATGGACGTTGTGAAGTTTAGCAAAAGCTACAATGGCATCATTTCCAGCATGGGTGCCGAGCTTCTGTAATGTTTGCACTGAGGAAACAAACAGGGATGGCAGAGGTAAAAGAAATGGGGAGGGTTCAAATCTTCTGCTTTTAAGTCCATGGTATTGTGAGGTTAGAGAATGGTCCCACCTTTTTCTTCTTATAGTCTATGCCATGTCTTCTTCTTCTTTCTGTTTCTATCCTTTATCTCCCAAAACAGAATATGCCCTGAACTAACTGAAGTCAAGTCATTTTATCCTTTGCTTTTGCATTCACCCCCCATAAGCGCTCCGTCCCCATCTTCAGCAGCAAGCAAAGAGTTCCAACTCCGATGGCACCAGTAATTGTCTGACTCTATATCCGTCTCACCTTTCCTCTGAGTGTCAAGCGCCGACCAGATCCCCTTGTAACTCCTCACAGCGTCATTCTCCTCAGACTGTAATGATCTATCTGTGCCTCCGCCCTGTTCAATCACTCCCAAAGCCCTCACAACATCCAGCTTGTCATACATCAGTTCACCACCAGTCAGTCTATCTGTCTGCTCATTTCCCATCACACTCGTCACCTGGAGAAAATATCCAAAAAAATCTCACCCTATGCCCCTCTTATCGTTTTAGCTTCCTTCTCTAGCTTCCTTCTCTAGCTTCCTTCTCCATGTGTTTATTTGAGTCTGTCAGAGCTTACAGTCAGTGAACACTAAGATGATGTTGTCTACATTATCCATCAAGGACTAATCAACCTATAAAACCACCGTTCTAGCATCGCAAGCCCCATCCTTACCCGCACAGGCCTGCAGGTTACATACATCTGATGTAACCATTACAAGTGACCTGATTATAACTTGTTTAAGAGGCTGAATTGGGAAAATGGGATCTGCCCCTGTTGGCCTGCTATTGGCCCAACTTGGTATGCGTCCTGTTTAGACAAAAACATTTTTGCTTGTTATACAACCTTTGCTTACTTTATGACTCGCATGCTAGAACTTGTACGGGAAAAGAGACAGAAAATGAAAAGAGAAAAGAACACCAGAATTTAAGATTCCTGAAGTTGTATCGGAAGGGGATCCTTCTTTCAAACAGTAACATCTCCTCCTCATCTCTATCCTACAAGGAACTCTTCTCAACAGTGTAGTGTGGTTAAATGTTCATCTATTTCACATAACTGCTTTTGTATTTAGTCCTTAAGAAAGAGAATAGGGACTTTTGAGCTGAAATGCTATAGAAAGATTCTCAGAATACCTTGGACAAAGAAGAGGGGAAATACTGACATCTGAAAGATCTTAATACAAAGGAAGATTGGCTTACAAACAGCATCCTGTCTCGGATACTGAAATATTTTGCTCATATCAAGCGCCATGACGGATTGGAAATAATAACAGCAGAAGGCATGGTATCAGGAAGGAAGGGCATAACCAACATAAAGATGGGCACAGGATATAAGTGACTTCCTAAGTATGAAAGTACATGAGGCAGAAGAGCTGGCAAGAGACTAAATTTCTTTCAGGCAGACCGTAATGAGAGCAACGTTCTGCAAAGGATCTGCTACATGATGATGATGATGCTTTTGTATTTATATATTTTAAGACCAAGCAGTGTTCAACTTATTTCGTTTAACCCCATCAATGTATAATATGCCACTTACAATAGGATTTTTCTTCTTCATGGGAATGGATAAATAATTTTCTAATTATTTCTCATGTTCTTCTTGTGTTTGGTATATGTCCAAGGATCTGGAATGGATTAAGCAAGCATACCGAGGTATCACTGTCATTTCATCTAAGGTGATAAACCTTCAAGTAGCATCACACAGGGGACAAACGAATGAATCAATCAATAATAAAATCGATGCATCAATTCCATGAAAAGAATCCTTTATAATCACACAATTTTCTAGACTATGAAATAACTTGAGTTAATGGTGGAAACATTTTACAAAAATAAGAAACATTACAATTTATGGAGACAAAATGTTCTTAAAATGAGAAACAACTACAATTTATGGAGACAAAATGTTACTGAAATCAGAAATAACTACAATTTATCGCAGCAAAATGTAATCAAAATCAGAAATAACTGCAGCTTATGATGTAAAACTCACCCAAAAAAAAGTAAATAACATTATATTTTAATAAAAAGCAAGTTACAAATGTGTTCAAAAAGCTCAAAGTTAAGATAAAAGTCATCAGGAAGGAAACAACCTCAATGTATGGCAACAGATGTTACAAAATGGGAAGGACCCATTTCCCTGCCTTCAGGAGTATTGGGCATATAGGGCTATACTTATATTTTACAGACCAATCTGCAATCGGTGGGTGATGTGGTCAACATCACGCTGGCCACCTTTACTTCCCAGGATTTTATCTAGTACCCATTTAAGGCTGCGTCTCCACCCAGGAGCCAAGGTCATTTTTGCAGTCAAGTCCTGCTCCACAAGACCTGAACCCACGACCTTCAGATCCGCAGGCAAGCGCCTAGCCGTGACACCATAGTGGTTCCCACAAAATGGGAAGCAACTCCAGTTTATGATGACCAAATTCACCACACAAAACAAACAAAAACCAGTTTGTGATGACAACTCACCATGCTCATCAAATGACATGTCATCTTCCACAAATGGCTCAAAATCATGTCTGTGTGTTCTCATATAATTGACAACTTCCGTTCTGTGTCTGAAGTGGTTGCGACAATGTCCTTCCAACTGATCGCCCAGCGCTCGGAACAGACAGTTTCTATGAAAAATAATTAATGCTTAATAATCGTATATTACAATCTTTTAAATGCATAATACAGCATTATAATTATGGTACAGGACAGGGCTATTCAACTAAATTCATTCGGGGGCCAAAATTTTGAAAACGGGGATCGTTACGGGCCAGACGCTCAAGTCCCAACAATGAAACATCATTAAGACAATACTTTTGGCAATGATTTGCGGCCAGATTTGGCCCGGGGGCCGCCAGCTGAATAGCCCTGCTATAGGATAAACATAGATAATGAGCATAACAGCCCATGGTGCTTTTCTAATATCCTACCTCAAACAGGGGAAATCCACAGGTCAAAGGACAGTAATATTTTAGGGGCTGGTAGATAGGGACCTAGGCTGCATGCAGTCATGGGACCTAGGCTGCACTTTCTTGTGGGGCGTAGGCGGGTTGAGGTTAGGGCCAGTTCTAGATGTTTTGGGATCGTTAAAAGCATCAGCAAGCTGGAAAAAAACAGTCTTACCACCCTCTAAAATGTTGGACTGTCCTGTGACGTCACCTGGGGTATGATATTAATAAAGCAATGAATTGCAGGTTACTTCCTAACTGTAGGATGCTACAATGTAGCTGTTACATGATCGAAGAGGGTTTCTGGTACTGACTCCTGTTTGATACCTATCTGAATGACTATGAATCACTGGCTGCCAATCTTCAGGTTGCAATCCTGAAAGGGAATACACAGGGGCCAACATGGTGGTCACTTCTAGACCATACTGCATGGCGTTGGCATTCCTTCTCCTGGCTCCGAGAAGCCACAAAACTGACAATTCTGGAGAAAGCCACTGACCTGACCTCTGCAGTGATGTGTTTACAAGACACATAGTTACTTCTATTTGCTGAGTTTGAGCCTGTGGAAATGTTTACGAGGTCAGGATATGAAAAAATCAACTAAAAATTTTGAGTGAGGGGGCGTTCCCCCTTTCAAAAAGCAATGTTGACATCAACTTTTCCAGAAGCCTCAATGATAGAGGTCACAGCTTAAGTTACCTGAAAAATATTATTTTTTAGCTTGAAAGAATGTACTCCACTTAACTCTTGTCAGTCCCAATAGGTTTATCATGAGAGGCACAAAGGGTAGGAAAACAAAATGTAAAATTGGCACATCTTGCATTCATTGGGCTTTTATGAGCAACCTATGAACATGTGATGCATTTCCTGGGACTGAAAGAGTTAATGCTTCACCCTATTTGTGTTGATTAATTATTCACCGTTAGTCAATTTTTTTTTTTAAATGCAGATACATTTTTTTTTTAATTTTTACTAGTGAGTGTAAAATCAAATTTTTTTTTTTTAAGGATTTTTCAGGAATTCACATGGGGTTCTGACCTTTTCTACTTCAAACATTTGCGGGATGACAGAGCTAAATAATTTATAACACAGACGAGCTATGATGCCAAACTGGCCAGCATCTTCGCTTTTTTACCTCTACCTTCCCATTCTCACAATGTACTCTAGCTTTCCTCTTCTCAAGACGTTATCAAAGAATGTCTCCATCTTTTTCATGTTATTAAATCTCTTGACGAGCAATTTTTTTCAAGATATCTTTATTACACTTTATATTTGTCCATGGTGTCCTCTCTAACCTCTTTCTCTAAAACCAAACCTCAGCAGTTTCAACATTATCTTTCTGGCTGACTGTCACACTCCCCAGAGTGACAGCTATGTAATTAACCCTACGAAACTGTTGTCGATCATCTCTTTGAGTGCCCAAAACTCAACAAGACTAGAAGAATGCTACTCCCTCCGAGACCAGACAGGTGGAACACCTTGAATGGAGAAAAAGAACAGCTTGTGAAAACATGTAAATTCCACTACATGGCATTGGGCCAAAGGGCGAAATCTCATGCGCCGCTGGATCAATAACAACAACATCCGGCTGACTGTCCATAATTCCTGTCTTTTTTTTTAATTTTGATAATCAGTTCTCTTAATGAAATCGTTCTTTTCTAGACATCTTCATTACACTTTATATCTATCGGCATTGTTCTCTCTTCTTTTCTTAAAACCATATCTCTGCAGGTTCAGCATAATTCTTGTCTCCTTTTGATTCAGGTAAAAATTCTCTTCCCGAGTTTTCTCATTTCAAGACATCTGAATTACACTTTGTATCTACCCATGGTATTCTCTCGGTATTCTTCCTCTCTAAAACCAAATCACTGCAATTTCAACACAATTTTTCACCAGTTAATATCTGTATTACATTTTATAACCAAGGTGCTCTCTCTCTCCATTCTTCCTCTCTTAAACCACATCTCTGTAATTTCAACATAATTTTTCATCAGTCAACTTAATGGCCATGATTCACTTCTGTACATAAGGATTGGCTATTTATAAGCTCTTAAGAACACCCATTCTTACCTCAACTGACTAAGACAAATTACCTAGAACAGCAGTTTCTAATTAGCACAGACCTGCATACCCCTCTTCTTTTCTAAGGTCTGCCACAGACCCCATCCTCATCATGTAGCAGGTCCTTAACAGAACATCACCTGCATCACAGTCAGTCTCTCCCACCTCAAACACTTTCCTACCCAAGGAGTCAATTACAACCTCTGCCCATCTTCGTGCTGCTCAGCCACTGCCCCTCTTTCCTGTTATCATGCCTTCTGCTAATATTTTTTTCCCAATCCGCTTGAAATGGACAAAATCTGTTTAGTTCTGAGACAAGATTCTGTTTAACAGCCAATCTTCCTTGATGTTCAAGATTGTTTAGGATGTCAGTGTTTAGTTTGTGGCTTCCATGATAAAAATGCAGTTACAGATACCATATTAAAAAAAAAGTATATATTTACATATTAAACACAAAAAAGTATATATTTACGTATTAAACCCCCCCAAAAAGTATATATTTACATATTAAACCCCAAAAAAGTAAATATTTACAGATTAAACCCCATATTAAATAAAAAAAAGTATATATTTACATATTAACCCCCCCCCCCCCCCCCCAAAAGTTTACATAAAACAAAAAAGTATTACACATTAAACAAACCCAAAAAAGACAGAAAGAGTGAATTGACACAAAATTTAACTGATAACAATTCAGTAGTTAATGTTTTTTTTTTTAAAATGATAACACAGACTTGCTAAGTTTGTCTTGAAGGCCCCCAAGAAGTCTAAATGGGAAAGACAGGCATAAAAAATTCTTAATTTTGTGAAATGCTCATAATACCTGCATCACCAGTATTAGACTACTTAACTCTCCAAGGAAGCAGAACTGGTCTTGCAGTGGATACCAGCCCACTGTGGTATTCAAGGAAATGAGAGAGCAGATGAGGTGGCAAAAGCTGGGAGTAATCTTCCACAACCTCATCCACCACACAGCTACAAGGAAACCAAAACAGCGATAAAGGTGTCTTTCATTTGGAGAAGGCATAATGGAGATTACAGACCAGAGAGTGACCATAAACAAACTCAACAGGAAAGAACAAACATAATTTTTAGACTTTCGGACAGGACACTGGTAAACCCCCATAAAAGAATCTGCTGCCTGTGATTGTGGAGCAGAGAGACAGACCCCTGGGCACATACTACGTATTCTCCCAGCAAAGACCCCCAAAGAACATTGCATAGAAGCTATGGGGGACCGGTACCTTAAACGCACAATCCTATTTGTGACCCAGACGGGACTCAATGTTTAGCATGACTGATGCTGAACGCAGAAGAAGAAAAAGACTACTTAAAATATGTTACAAGGGACAGCTACAGACTTCTGTGCAGTTTTCGCTTGCAGAGGAATGGAGTAACAATGGGGTGACCTGTTTGCAGTGAAGCACTTTTGATTAACTGATACAACCTCCAACATGTTTAACCCTTTGGAGACAGAGCCTTTTTAAAGTTTCGGTGCCAAGAAGACGGAGCCTTTAGGAGGGGATTCTCATAGTTCATACACACAAAATTATTTTAAAAAAGCCTCTAACTAACATATGTCAGCTCTGCAGCTAAGTCGATGCGAACGCTTCGTAATGCCGGGTTTGATCCCAGCTGCAGGCCATGTACCTTGCGTTAGTTTTGACAGTGGTATCAAGAAAGCCGACCGTCCAGACAGCAATGGCAAACTACTGGACGTAAATTTGCCAAGAAAAACCACACAACAGCCAGGAGCTGTTGGTGCTGGTTCTGAAACATCCTGTAAAGGATAAGCAACTAACCTAACTAACATATTTAAAACTATATAAGTTCATGTAGGAAATTGAATGAACTAACAGAATATTTATGAATCAAACTGAAATCTCAACATTTATTCAAATTAACTATTTGGATTTGCATAATTTATGCAAGCAATTTTTTGTTAAACTTGGGAATAAACATAACTAATCTGAAAAATGTGGGTGAATTTGTTTTTTTATGGGTGAAACTTTAGGTAACCTGTAAAGTAAACTTTAATACCTGTATTTTGGGAAGCAAGGCCCTTGGAGGCCCTTCAGACATGTCTGGCACATGGTTCCATTTTCCTCCCTCCAGCTATGTTTCGGTTACTATGACGCAACAGTCTTCGCCATTTTTGGGCACAGGTAACCCCAGAAAAAAATCGATGTAAAATTACAGAACACATCAAACTTTCTCTAAAGCTGCCAATGAACAGCCCACACGTGCAAAAAACGCGAGAAGCAGTCTGACTGGCTGGTACGAAAAACTGCCAGCCAATATTAAGGCATCTATTATATAGGACCGACCGATCGACCCTGTCGTCCATTTGGTTACTTTGTGCTGGGCCGATATTTTGGCTGCGTCATCTCCAAAGGGTTAAAAATTAAATATACTTAACAGCCTGACATGCAGCATTCCAGAGACACCCATAATCAGGTCAGGCTTTTCTTGGCTTCAGGTGTTTCCCCAGGTGGGAAGTAAGCAAACTACACATGACAGAATCTCCCAGAAAAAAAAAAACTGTAACTCTTCTGGCACCAGACAGTTGTTATTTTAACGTCTTTTTGTTATTTATGAGTTACTACCCTTGTGCCATGATGTTGATCTGTTGTTTCAACCTAAACCTTATATCAAAATTAATATATCTTCTTCTGTCTTGTTACTTGAATTAATTCTACCTCACAGTTGTTATTTTGACTATTTCTACCGCACAGATGTTATTTTGACTATTTCTACCTCACCGATGTTATTTTGACTATTTCTACCTCACAGATGTTATTTTGACTATTTCTATCTCATGGTTGTTATTTTGACTGTTTCTATCTCACAGTTGTTATTTTGACTATTATTACCTCACAGTTGTTATTTTAACTATTTCTATCTCAACTACTTCTATCTTCAAGGTGGTTTCCTAGGCCCTGAGTGGGGAAGGGGTGTGGGGGTGGAAGGAAAGAATACACTCATTAACAGCTGTCTCCACTGCCATTGTTAGGGTTGTGCTGGAGAGGGGGCTTGTGTGCCTGCATGGCTAGCACCACTTCTCCCTCTGGGCAAACATGGTGTCAAAGGTCATATCTAAGAGTTTGATTACATTGAATGTGTTTTGCTCAAAAGGTGGAGATGACAAAAGCCTGCTTATAAACCATAAACAAAATGTACCAAGCGTCCTTTTAAGGAAGAATGCAGAGAAAAAAGAATAAAAACAAGACAAGAACAAAAGAAGAAGGAAAAGAACAACAAGCAGAAGAAGAAGAATGACTTTTTTTACTCCCAACAATTAAATGATGTTTCCAAAGTTATTCAAATAATAACCTTGTTCATCAGAAGAAATTGCAGCAATTACAAAACAGTGGGTTAATGTAGCAAGCATTCTTCTTCTTCTTCTTCGCGTTCACCGGCTGTAAACTCTGACTGCTTGTCCACCTCTAGACTTTAAGTCTTGTTCCAGAACCTGGGTGTTGCCTGCACATCCATTTTACACATCTGATTTACTTGCATGCAGATTGTTGGTTCCTAGCCTCACAGGCAGATGCACTCTGACTTTGAAGGGAGCCAACAATTAGTTGACTCCTACAACATGCTTGTTGGGGAGGAGTCTATTCTTGTTGGCCTATTCCCCCTTCCCCTCACACAAGAACTGGGCCCTAGAACCAACATCTGGAAGAAAGACAGACTGACAACAGACATGCTTACCCATCAGCTGGTATATCACGCAGCTGAAGACCCATCTTAGCCAGCTGCATCCTGAAAGAAGGACAGTTTTCATCGTCTGCCAAATAGGATTTTGACAGCCTCTCTTTCCTGTAGGCCTCCCTCATTACCCTCTCCTCCCTCTTGTGTGGTGTGCAGTCATCTCCACGATCGTTGGTAGCTTTGATACTTCTGGTCATTTTGCCGTTGTGTCTATAGATGCTGCCTCCGCCGGTGTTGTTTCTCCCAGGCATATTACTCCATGGAAAAGAGAGCTTGCGGTGGAAGCACACAGACTAAAGGAAGGTTTCTGAGGTACACACAGATTTATGCACCACTAAGCTGTCCTTGTAGTACTAACAAGTTCTGTACCACTAACAAGTTCTTGCTGTTACTGATAGAGAGTTACTGTAACTGTGAACAAAAATAAAAAGAAGAAAACTAAAAAAGAAGCAATTAATTGTCTATGACAAATCCTAAATTAAACAAGAAGAGATTGAGTCAGAAAAGATGCTATTAAGAAACAAGCTGGGACAGAATCAGTGCTAAACTACATAAAAAGACAACAGATCAAATGGATTGAACATATGTCAAGAAAACAAAATGATAGTGCACTACAGAGAGCCATGTACTTAAACATAACAGAGGGCAGAGCTAGAGGTCGTCCGCCAGGCATGCGAATGATGGAATATCTGAGGCTGTCAATACTAGCACCTACATAACGCACACCAAGGCTCACAACAGATGCCAATTCAAAACCTGATGCTGAAAGGCGAAGCACAGACTAGAGAAAAGAAGGAATTTTAACTAAATTTTCGAACAAAAATGATAAAGAATGAGAAGAAGAATTCTAAGAAATTCTCACACTACTAAGAAGTTATGCCCAATTTGTAATCCTTTGAAAATACAGTTGGTTCATTACATCATTAAATAATTCATGAATAACTTACAAGTAAATTCACTACAAACATGTTTCTGTACTGCTAGTTCTCACAAGAAAAAAACAAGTTTAAAACAAATAGATGGGAAGCAGCAAAAGGCTCTAATCACATCAATGGGTCAGTGGACATATTGTGCTATGCACAAACTTTACAGTAAACAAACTGATGGTCCCAATCAATGAGGAAGATGTGGTCAACATCATGCCAACTACGATCCCAATCAATAAGGAAGATGTGATCATATTCATGCCAACTACGGTCCCAATCAATGAGGAAGATGTGGTCAACATCATGCCAACTACAGTCCCAATCAATGATGAAGATGTGGTCAACATCATGCCAACTACGGTCCCAATCAATGAGGAAGATGTGATCATATTCATGCCAACTATGGTCCCAATCAATGAGGAAGATGTGGTCAACATCATGCCAACTACGGTCCCAATCAATGAGGAAGATGTGGTCAACATCATGCCAACTACGGTCCCAATCAATGAGGAAGATGTGGTCAACATCATGCCAACTACGGTCCCAATCAATAAGGAAGATGTGGTCAACATCATGCCAACTACGGTCCCAATCAATGAGGAAGATGTGTTCAACATCGTCCCAACTATGGTCCCAATCAATGAGGAAGATGTGTTCAACATCGTCCCAATCAATGTGGAAGATGTGGTCAACATCATGCCAACTACATTTACTTTTCAGGAGGTTTTCCGGTGTCCATATTTACTTATTTTGTTTTAAAAATCTGCCAAACTGGGTCACTTCTCACTCCCACACTGGACAGCAGGTTACTCCGTAACTGTTTGGGTGCACTAATATAGCTGGGTGGGTGCACTGATATAACTGTAAAGGGGGTGCACTTGAATAATTGTGTGTGTGCACTAATATAGCTGTGTGGGTGCACTTATATATTTGTGTGGCTGCACTAATATAACTGTGTGGGTGCACTAATATATCCGTGTTAGGCGGTTGAACGGGTTTCTGGAAATGATTCCTCTTTGATTCTCATCCTTGAGACAGGACAGCAATCCTGGAAAGGAACTTCGACCACCATTACGAGATGAGGACTGGAACCTAAGACCTTTGGGACAGAAGGTGAGCATCTAGTTACTATGCTGCCACAGCCAAACGTATGTAACGGCAAAGATAAAATCATAATAAGGTCTGACATTTTAATACATTTTTAAAATTATATTGAAACAAAAATGCATAGACATTCTGTTTCTTTTTCTCTTCGTCCTTCTTCTACATCTTTGTTTTCTCTGCCATTCATACCTAAAATAAACCTAGGCCATTGAGCAATTATTTTAATATATCATCTTACCTTTTGTTTTTGCATGCAGCCTACTCAACGTATATTGCAAAAATAGAAAATATTTAGGGATAAAAGACACGAAAAGTTACGAAAAAAAAGTAGAAGAAATGGTGAAATAGAGATATTGACTGAGATAATCTTAAGCGTGTTTAATGATGTTACAACAGACTAACTTCTCTAGCAGGTAATAAACAAGAGTTGAGTAGATTCTCTGGCTGGTGGCAGAACAGCAGACAGGTAGTTTCTTTGGCTGGCTGGTGACACAGCAGTTCTCTTACAAGTGGCTGAAGGCTAACAGCAATCAGGAAGTTTTTTCTGTAGGTAACAGAAACACAAATCAGGAAGTTCTCTTGGTAGCTGAACTACAATGAGGTAGTTTCTGAGCAGGTAAATGAACAGAAATCAGGCAGTCTCTGCACAGTGTCTCTACACAGTGGTTGTACACAGTCATCCGGCTGTGAGAGTAAGACAGCAGACAAGTGCTTTCAGTGCCTGGCGAAGGTGACTTGACAAAGTGATAACACCGAGACAAACATCTAGACAGTGACGGCAGTCAGATTACCAACAGTTGATGACTGAACATTACTCAGGTAGCTTAACTAGTCATGGTTGATCTTTGGCTGGTGACAATAAACATGTGAGTTTTCCCTCCCCATCTGATGACAGCAGCCAGATTACCAACAGTTGATAACAGAACATTACTCAGGTAGCTTAACTAGTCATGGTTGATCTTTGGCTGGTGACAGTAAACATGTGAGTTTTCACTCCCCACCTGATGACAGCAGTCAGGAAGTTAACTAACAGCAACAGCAGTCTGATTACAACATGGTCATAACTGATGAACGAACAGCAGTCAGCAAAGTGTCTTCTATCTAACTACTGGTCAAAAATGAGTTGGTAGTTAAAATTAAGTTCATCGCTAGCAATTTCTCCGGGATGGCGAAAGAAGGGAAGACAAGACAGCTGGGTTGTTTTTCCTAACTAGTAACAGTAGTCAGATAGTTAACTGTCAGTGACAGAAACTATATAATCATACGCTTATGCTGACCGATGAACAGAAATAAGATGGTTACTTTCTGAAGTTATAAGTTATTTAATAATAATATTTTTTTTACTTTCGCAAACTCGGCCGGCTGGTCAGTGGTCACAGTAGAAATTATAAGGTACCTTCGACAGACAGCCAGCTAGTTTCTCTGCCTGGCGAAGACAGGACATCAGACAGCTGGTTCCTCTACCTGGTGACAGCAGTAATCTATCTGGCAGTGACAGCAACGGTTACAACAGCCGATGATAGGTGCAGAAGTGGAAAGTTTCATCACCACTTGACAACAAACAGTGAAAGATGCCTGGGTTGGGGGAAGACAACTCTGATCCCTTGTTGTTGGCTGGGGAAGTAACTCTGCCGGACTCCTATCTGACCTGACCCGGAATTAAAACTATTGTCAACAAACATGGCGACACACATGAAAATATTGGAAGGCGGGGCAGATGATGGAAGCCTGTCCAAGATGCTTGATAATGATACGGGTGGGGTTTTGGGAATTGCATATTTAAATAGTGTTTAAGTGTAGAGAAGATTTTTCATTAATCGGCATTGTCTACTGTAATGTTGGTTCGGGGATAAGACATCAAGGAAAAGTTAATATTTGATGAAATAAACACAAAAATGTTAATAACATTGTTATTGTTATTGACGTTCCTGGTTGTTTCATTTTCAGACCCGGATACATTACTTCTTTGTTACACATTTATGAATGAGATGTATCACATTCATGGTTGAAATTATCACATTATGAAGAGTTTGTGGACAATGGAAACGTGGATTATTTGAAGCATGTAAGATGGTTCGATGCTGCGCTGTTTTCCCTAGACAAAAAAGGTGACGGGATTCTTGATAAAGTGCCTTTGAAAGTTGTCGATACTCACCACCAAGTGCCTATTACAATAGTGCCAAAAAAAAGGGGTATCGGTATTGTGAGCATTAAGTACCCCTAGAAACAAAAGCCCTAGTTCCATGGAGGAAGAGTATAAAACTTATATTAGTGATACAGGTCAGAAGATCATCAGCATCTGTGGAAAGACCTGGACATTATGATGTCAAACTGGCAAACTTGGTAGGAAAAGAACAATAACTCTTTCAGTCCCATAAGGTCCTAGCTAATGTCCAAGGCAGTTAAAAATGACAATAATAAGAAGAAGAACTCCACAGGGGAAGCATGTACAGCAGGGGTCTACTGATCATCAGTAGAAAGATTCCTCGTTGATGATTGTTTCATCCCATTCCTACACAGTCTCGGAAGGTGGGCCGACCTAGGTCATGACTCCCAGGCCTTAATCTCTACACTCATTGGCATACTACATCCTGAAGGGTTAAAAAAACAACCCTTACAGGAAACAAATATTTTGACAGAGTTCTTTAGAGTTGCTCATAAACATAAGATGTAAAAACATAAATAAGACGTTAGTGGGTACAAATGAATAATACCCATTCATACATATTGCACATAACAAATTTATAATTTGTTTAAATCACCACTGATCACTGACATCATGAGAGCTAATAGATTGAAATGGTTGGAGCATATTGAAAGAATGTCAGATGACAGAGAAGTACAAACTGTATACACAAGGAAGATGAATGGCTGTAGACCACGAGGCAGACTAAGAAGAATATGGATAGATAATGTCCAGACAGACCTGCAAAACACTTGGTGTCACCAATTGTAAAGTAAAGGCCAACCAGAGAGATGAATGGAGGCGGATTATATCAGCAGCATTAAACCTCAAAGGCTCAGAATGCTGAAGGCGAATAAGATATGTATTGCACTGTTTGGGACAGAAAGAGATAATAAGACAGAGAAAGATAAATGCCTGGATGGCTTAGCACACAGCATAAGCAAGATGAGAACACAGACCTGATCTGAGAATCTGGTCTTTGTGGGAGATAGTAAACAGGGACCATCGATGCATATGGTGTATGATGATGATGATAAACCATTCTAGCATTTATCATTATTGTTCCCCATGACAGTTCCAGGGCCCGATTTTGTTTCTACCTTTCTAGCCTTGGAGTGGAGCATAGGCCCTCAACCAAATCACGCCAAGTTGTTCTATCCTTCGCTATTGCTTGCAGTTCTTCCTGTCCTCCCCATCTTTTTTTCACTTTCTAGCTTACTTCTCCATGTGTTTTTTGGTCTTTTATTTCTATACTCCTGTGGATTCCAGTGCAAAGACATTCTAGTTATATTGTTCTCAGGTTACCTCATGTCTCCTATCCATCGCCAGCATGTTTTCTTCACCTCTTGGTCCACTAGGGCCCATTATGGGGAAAAGAATACAGCAACTGTCATCTAAAAAGCATGTCATAAAATTTACTATGCAGGGAAGTTGGAGTGCATCTGCCTGAAAGGCGAGGAACCAGCAGTCTGCACACAAAAAAGCCAGATCTGTGAAATGGATGTGCATGCAACACAGGTTCGGAACAAGACTAAAGTCCAGAGATGGACGAACAACCAGAACTTTCAGTCAGAGTTTACAACCAGCAAAGAAGAAGAAGAAGATCATCATTGTCACATCCGGTTATGCCATTTTATGTCACATAGGGCTCATGGTCTATCCCTCCATTCCATTTTCTTTTCCGCAATTGTTTAAAAATAATCTTTCAATTAGTTGACTTTTACCACACGCTTATTGGGGAGGCAATGGGTCTATTCTTGTTTTTCCACAATAAGGCAGTGGAACCAATATAATGTATGGAATCCAGTCCAGCACCTTGGAAATAAAGTTTGTTCGTTCATTCTCTTGTCAATCTTCATTTTAGGGTTACTTTTAAACATTCTCGTTTCCTCAGTTTGTTTCCCATTTCATTGCCTGTTTGGTGATTCTTTGCTTGCTTCTTTACATGATATGCCCAATACAGTGCCATCTTCTTTGCATATAACTACTTCACCCTTCTTGAATTCATTTATATAATATTTATCAGTTTCCTCAGGTTTTTGTTTTCCAATTCATTTAACTTTCATTCCATGTCTTTAGTGGTTCTCCAGCTTTTATTGGCAGTTAAAACTTAAATAACATTAGAATTGAAAAAAATTTAACTTGGTTTTAAAATTATATAATTTAAAATTCCATATTTTGTTCTAGCTATTAGAAGCTGGTGTTGCCTTGCCAATTCATGTCATAATTTCTTTCTTTATGTTTTATTGACTGTAAAAAATACTGCTTAAATATGAAAATTGATCGTTATTTTAACTATTTTTTTTCTAATGTTACATCTCCTTGATCTGCTGTGATGTCTTCAATATATTTTTTTGTGTGATCTTTTTGTAGCCTAACTTTGATATAATATCCTCTTAATAATCTATTTTTATTCTACTACATATACTTTCATAGATAGATTTAATCAACTGTTTTGTTTATCATATTCCAATTCAGTATATGCTAATGTTCTATTAAGTTAGGTCATGCTGTCGCTGTAACATTTTTCAAAGCTGCATTTTACTTTCAGAGCATATTGTGCCCATACACAAGGAACTGACAGAGGCTGGCCAGTATTCTTTTGTTGCCTTGTGCGCCACTTTGCTTTACTCTCTATTTGATTCCCATGACAAGTGAGTAGTTCACTTTGTGATGTATTTTTTAAATACAAGTTTACTTATTTAGATTGGGGGAAAAAAAGATTTTTTTAATTGGTATCTGGTATCGGAAATGTGGTTTTGCAGAAGAATTCTTAGAATTCCTTGGACAGCCAAAAACGAGCAACCAAGATGTTTTGAAAGAGGCAAGGATCTGAAGAATGTATCACACATATCAAAAAGAGACAGTCATCATTTTTGGTCATATTTTGATAAGAAGCCATGTAGTGACCACTGGCAAGATCTATAGAAGAAAAGACAGAGGAAGACAATAAGTGTATATTATGGGTCAGTAGGTCCTAATTGTGCTACGAGTCAGTGTGCATAAAGATATTCTTCCATGCCATGATACCAAACTCCACAGTATCTTCTATCTTGGTATCTAAAAGTAAAAGTCGGGAGATGTGACACAGTATTACTGCACATGGTTATAGACCATAAGTGCTCTGCCACTAGTACAGACAGCTGATAAGAAAATGTCCGCCTGTGTCGCCGTCCGGACGTAACTCCGTATGTACAGCAATGTTCCTCCATTCACCCCAGAGTGTCAACTCTGGTACCCATTTCCTAGAGACTGGATAAACCCCGGGAACCGCCTGGTTTCGAACACCGACCGTGGCTGCAGCGAGTCACAGCTGGATTTGAAAGTGAGCCTCCTATCATCTGCGCTAACGTGGCTCTCTTGGTGTCTCCCTGCCTCTATTCCAATTGATTGTCCTGTTATCTCAACAGATTCCAGTTTTGTGGGTGTCAGTTTTCTTTGTGAGTTAATTTCTTTCAGTACTGTTTCCCGTCATGGAAGAAAAAGCATAGACCCACTGTTTCCCTAACAGGTTTGGTGGAGGACAACTAATCAAGGATGTTTTCTTTAAAGTCAGAGTGCATCTGCCTGAGACACATGGAACCAATAATCTGCATAAATTATGCCAGATGTGTAAAATGGTTTGGCACAAAAACTCAAGCTCTGGAACAAGAATAAAGTTGAGAAGTGGACGAACAACCAGAACTTTCCCTCAGAGTTTACAGTGTGAAGAAGAAGAAGAAGATTACACTTTTTTTTTTACTGTCCATATTGTTCTGACCACTCTTCTAGAAAACCACATTTCTGCATCTTCCACATAGTTTCTCACTGATCTACTGACTGTCATTTGATATTTTGATAAAGTTTTTGTCATTTATTTAAAGCCATTGAAGCTTCTTTTGTGGTCTTTACATCATTTTAACTTTAAATTCTATTGTAGCAAATTTAAAGATGAGGCTTTGTCGGCCATCTTGGAGTCCCTAGAGCAACCCCCGCAGGTATGCAGAATATACAGTTTATGCCCAGTGGAGTTTGTGTGTATGACTGGACTTTGTGTGCAGACTGAGTATTCATCTGTATGTCTGTTTGTCTGTGCATGTGGTTACACATGTGCAAGTTAAGCACTATGTATACACAGTGGTATGTCTGTATACATCCTTAATCTTTTCCAGATCAATTGACTTATACCAAACAGGATGTATACCAAATGAATTTTTCCATAAGAAATCAAGGGAGCATTATCAATCTGTTCCAATGAAAAAATCCTATTGTTATTTTATACATTAATGGTGTTGTATAAAATATTTTAAACACTGCTTAAAAGCAGAATACATAAATACAAAAGCAGTTAAATGAAATATATGAAAATTTAACCTCACTTTACCTTGATGAGAAGAGTTGAGTGCCTTTTAGGATGGTGATGAGAAGGGAATTAGAAATTTTATTATTTGGAAGGAGATTTCCCTTCCGGTAAAGCTTCATAAATCTCAAATCGTGGTGTTTTTTCTCTTTATTTTTTCCTTATCTTCTGTCTACTCTGACCTTGTTGAGGCTCACCAGGTCTGACTTTCACTAGAAATCTCTTCAGAGAATTCTGCCTGCTGTCAGAGTGTTTTGGAAATATGACATTGTCTGGTTGTTCCAGACAGGGCCTTTTTGGAATTTGTTGGGGGTATTTCAAATCAAAGTTCTTGACATCTATCTATTTCCAAACATTTCCTTATTAATGAGAAAGATAGACAAGGGTAAAGAGAAGTGTTATGACTCATTTTGACTCCTAATACAAGTTGGAGTCATATTCCAAATAATGATATTTTATCAAGCAAAAGCTTTCATGTCTAAACAGTATATTAACAAAGTTGTACTTATTAGAAAGCGGAAGTTTTGCCCAGGTATCACATGTGTATATACATGACAAGGCAGATGTAGTCAAAGCTCTTTGGGAACAAGCAGCGGAATCAGTAGAGAATGACAATTATTATGGCCTGGAGAGAATGAGGCACCTGGGCCAGCTCACTACACTCAGAGGAAAGGCAAGATGGACATATAACCAGATTGTGACTGGTGCCATCAGTATTGGAACTCTGCGCATGCTGGTGAGGATGAGGACGGTGCATACATGGGAATACCCGGAGTGCTGTGATGTAAATTCTTGACTCAACTCAACACTATACATGTTTGTGTGTTGCAAAAAACTTCAGATTTGCTGGCAAAGTCTACGGTTGAAATACACACTGAGGCGGATCTTTAAAAAAAAAAATTGTCTTTGGCTCTCAGGTCGACCCAGTCTAAAATGGGTACAAGGTAGTGCCTTGGGAAGTAAAGATGGCCAGCTTAATGTTGACCACATCACTTATCAAGTTTCGATTGGTCTAGAGAAATATTATATATCTCTCACTATAATGTGATTTGCTGAAAAAAGAAAAGGGTCATTGCAAGACTAATAAAAAAAAAGAAAATTAGTAACAGTTTTAGGATGTGACCATACATGCCAGGAATGTGAGAACACGGCACAGAACCAATTCATATAAAGAGGAGAATGCCTTGTGAACCATACCACACAAAGACTAAGCATTTTAGAAACTCTAGCACATATAGGCTCAGAACATATGGTTGAGGAAGTGTTCAATAGTGCCCCCTGCCGACTGGCGTGGGCTATCATGGGCTATCATGCCTCTCCATAATCTGCGATCTCCTGCAGTATGTGTCAGTTCAGGTGCCGACACACCTCCATGCCATGCAACAAGACTGTCAAGCATCTTCTTTCCTTGTCTTCCTCTATCTCTCCTTCCACATATCTTTCCAGTGGTCACAACATGTTCTATTTTTCCCTCTTCTCATAACATGGCCGAAAAATGATGACTGTCTCCTTCTGATGTCTGTGATAAGTTGTCTTCGGGCTCCCGCCTCTTTCAAAACCTCTTGGTTGCTCTTTTTGGCTGTCCAAGGTATTCTAAGCATTCTTCTGTAAAACCACATCTCCAAGGCCTCCATAAATTGTTTAGCCTGCCTACCGACTGTCCAGCATTCACTGCCATATGTTAAAACTGGATGTATGTAGCAAGCAAGAATTCTTTTTCTAACTCTCAATGACAAGGATATATTGCACAAGATGTTTTTCATTTTATAAAATGCAGTTTTTGCCTGTCCTATTTTGTTTCTTTTCTCAGTTATGCATCTTCCATCTGATGTTATCCATGTGCCCAGATACTTAAATTTTTGTACTTATAACACCATCAAATTTTATTACACATTTAAGAATAATTTTTTCTTTGATACCACCATTCTCTCTTTCCATTATTCAAACTGAGGCCCATTCTTCCACTTTATAACACCACAATGTCTATCATTTCCTGTAGTTCTTTCTGACTTGTTGCTATCAAGACTGTGTCATCAGCATAACGTAAATTGTTTAAATTGTGCCCACCAACCACAATTCCTGGCATACCAATTAAAGCTCTCATTATATATTCACTGTATATTGAAAACAAATCAGGTGACAGTACACATCCTTGTCGTACGCCCCTCTTTATGCTTTGAAATGTACCTAAACAGTTGTTAATTCTTATAGCTGCTGTTTGCTGCCAATACATATTCTTTATTATTCGTAGATCTTTTCCATCGATGTTTAATTTTTCTTACAGTTTGATTACTTCTTCATGCTTCACACAGTCAAATGCTTTTGTATAGTCTATGAAGCATATGTACAAATCAGTCTTTACTTCTATAGCTCTTTCTGATAATGTCCTTAGGATGTATATGGCATTGTTTGTACCTTTTCCTTCTACAAATCCACATTGTTCATCGCTGATTTCTGGTTTAATTTGTTTTCTTATTCTTCTCATAATTATTCTCAGTAAAATCTTAGTCATGTGACTCATAAGACTTATTGTGCGATGGTCTTCACATTTTATAGTGCCTGGTTTCTTAGGCAGAGCTATAAATATGGATTTTAAAAGGTCATTTGGAATATACCCACTATTATAAATATCATTTAAAAGTTTAGTTATTATTTCAATTCCAAAATCTCCCAGTGCTTTGATTTCTTCCAGTGAGATGTTGTCTGGCCCGGGTGCTTTTCCCTTTCTTCATATGATGTATTGCATCCTCAACTTCTGCAGTCATTATTGGTGGACCATCATTGTTGGTCTGCAGTTCTAAATCTGGTCTATTATCATCATACAATTCCGCTATATACTCTGTCCATCTGTTAATTATATTACTTTGTCCCATTAATAAGTCACCATCTTTTGATTTCAAACATCCAGTGCTGTTACATGTCATCTTTCCTGTTAACATATAAGGTCAGCTGCCTTTATTTCCCAGGATTTGCCTGGTACCCATTTAAGTCTTGGTTGACCTGGGAGCCAAGGTCATGTTTGTTCACACAAAAACAAAAGTTAGGCCCTGTGTGGATTTAAACCCATGACCTTTGGATCTGCAAGTGAATGTTTAGCTGCTGCACCACGGAGGGTCAAAATAAAAGTCCTCAAAGACCCATGATTTTCTGACTGATGGGACAGAGTTCAGCAGCTGAGCCAAGGCATGCTCAATCACTTGATTTGCCGTGATGTTATGCAGTCTCAAGGTGTCTGTGACTCCTTCAATTTATCTTCTTCTCTTGCTGTTTTGATTTTCAGGTTGTATGCAGTTGCTGCTAGCATCGTTGGTTTCATTCTCATTAGATGGCCAAACCATTTCATTCTTTGTTTCTCAATAAATTTGACTATAGGTGTTGTTCCAACAGTTCTTAATGCTCAGTTCAGCTGCATAATTTGGATCACACTGCTTTGAATTGATTTAGACCATGTATGGCACGCAGTCTATTCCTACACATGGCACGCAGTCTATTCCTCCATTCCATTTTATCTTGTGCAGTCAGTTCAGTATCATAGATGGAATCCAGTCCGGCAGTTTTGGCCTCTCTTCGGGTTTCTTTTGGGCATCCTTAACTCTTTAATCCCTTTATTTCCCATTTTAATGCCTGTTTGGTGATTCTCTGTTGGTTTCTCTGTCTTATAACTATTGATACTAGTGGTTGCCCAGACGTTTCTCTGATTTTTTTTCTCCTTTTGAATTTATCCCATTTTATTTTCCTCAGGCATTTGTTTTCAGATGAAGTTAATTTTTGTTCCACGCTCTTTAATGGTCCTCCAACTTTTACTTGCATGTGTTAAAACTGAAATAACATTAAAATTGAATATGCGTAACTTGGTTTTAAAATGAAACAAATTAGAGTTCCATATATGGCAAACTACTGAATGTTAAGCTGCCTAGTGAAGCTACAAATAACCAACAAATGCTGAAGTTGGTTTGTCACGTCTTGCAAAGTATATGCAAGTAACTTTAACTTTATATTTCCCTCTCATGTTTATGGTCATATATTTCCCTCTCATGTCTATGGTCGTATATTTCCCTCTTATGTCTGTAGTCAAATATTTTCTTTCATGTCTGTGGTTGTATATTTCCCTCTTGAATCTGTAGTTGTGTATTTCCCTCTTGTATCTTAAGTCGCATATTTCCTTCTCGTGTCTGTAGTCGTATATTAACGTCTGTGTCTGTGGTCGTTTATTTTCCTCTCATGTCTGTGGTCGTACAATTACCCTCTTATGTCTGTGGTCTTACTTGTTACCAGGTCTGTAATTCAGCGAGAGCACTACTACAAGGTCATGGCCAGGACGATGTTGATCCCTATATTGATGTGCTTCTTGATGAGAAAGCTTTAAAGGAAGGTGCAGAGCCACTCATCTCTCAGATTGTGGCAGTTGCTGTTAGACAAGGTCTGCATTGAATATTTTGTTTGGGAAACATCATATGTCCAGTGTTCTTAATTTGCAGTAGCATACTCTGAGATAAAAATGTCCAACCCGTCTATCAGAAGTGAACAGAATCTATCTAGAGATGACTAGCACTTACTTACGGCATGGACAAGTCATCATTCTACGACTGAGGACAGGACATAACAAACTTAACAAACATACGCACATGCTTCGTTTAAGTAATTCACCAATGTGCCATGTGGGTGGGCTGTCTTTTGCAAACTGAAGAACACATCCTGCAAGAATGTCTCTTGTACAGCCCATTAAAAAGGTAAAACTGGTCTAATGAGTCAGACCATACATAAAGTTGTGTGGAACTGAAAGAGAACTCCCCCCCAAAATTAGTAAATCTTATCACAAGTTAAATTGAGTTTATTCAGGAACCAACATCAGAGCACTCGGGGCATTCTGCCATCTCTGCCCCCATCTTCAGCAGCCAGCACAAAGTAATAGTACCTATGGTACTAGTAACAGTCTGATTATACGTCCATCTTGCCTTTCCTCTGAGCCCCATATATCGGCCTGAAGAACTTGCTTATCTTTGTAAATCAGAGACCAATCATAAGAATAAGCTTTTCTAATTAATCGTCCTGCCTGTGTCAGTTCTAAGGGCCTCATTTAAAGGAGGTGGGGTGTAGACCCTCTGTCCCATGACATTCATTTTGCAAACATCAGGGGATTAAGAGTTTGCGGAAATCAGATCTGGTGCCTGTGCAGAAAAGGGGGAATTAAACTGTATGTTAGAATCAAAATTGCTGATCTTTGGGAGAGAACTAACAAGTTCCAGTGGACGAAGAGATGGAGAAAATACGCTAGCATTTGATAGGACACTCGCTGAGAAAACAGGAGAACAATATAATTATAATGTCTTTGCACTGGAAGCCACAGGGGCATAGAAATAAAGGATGACCAAAACAGTGCATGGTAAAGGGAGCTAAAAAGCAAAGTAAAGAAGATAGGATGACTTGGGGAGAGCTTCATGTTATAGCGAAGGATAGAACAACTTAGCGTGAGTTGAGGGCCTATGCTCTATTAGGGATTAGAAAGGCAGAAGAAGAAAAAGAAACCAGATGTGTTTGGCCAGAGGGTGCAGATTTCAAAGCCTAGCTGTAAACCAAAACATTACAGGCCAAGCCATCGTAGAAGAAAAAGAAGCATCTGTTGGCACCTTTCCAGTAGGTAGTATTCCATTGTGCTGTAGGCAACCACTGGAACCACAACCCATGGTCCCCCATGTGGGTTCCGGGGCCCTATTGTGGGGAAAACAAGAATAGACCCACTGCCTCCCCAAAAGCATGTCGTAAGAGTCGACTAACTGGGGAGCTTCCTTTGAAGTCGGAGTGCATCTGCCTGAGAGGCAAGGAACCAGCAGTCTGCATTCAATTGAATCAGATCTGTAAAACTGATGCACATGCAACACTCAGGTTCTGGAGCATGACTGCAATTCAGTAGTGGACGAACAACCAGAACTTTATGCCAGAGTGTACAGCTGGTGAACACAAAGAAAGAAGAAGACAACCCATGGTGGGTGTGACTAACAAGATCAGCCCACTTCCACAATAAATTCATGAGATTTCAATAGTGTTGTTGCTATCACAGGCATTTGGGATGATTCTTCTCATACTCCCAACTTTTAACCTGCAATCTTGTTCTTCTTTATCCCCAGTCCACGCCATCAGGAGCATTGGGCAAATAGGGCTAGACCTATATTTTAAAGACCAATCGGCACTTGGTGGGTGATGTGGTTGAAAAGGGAGTTGGTGTCTATTCTTTTTCCCCTCCCAAAATATGGCCACTGAACCCACCTGGGGATTTTGCTGTCTTCATTCGAAGCTCAAACCTTGTAAAAAAAACAACACAGAAAAGCCTACTGCTAAATCACCCTTGTGTGGCTAATTAATCCCCTCCACCCCCACCCCCCCCCCCCCCCCCCCCCCACCACATTAAAAGAATTATTTTGCCATGTCCGCAATGAAGGTTGGCTGCAGTTAGCCCACTTTTCTTTTGGAATTATATGTGACAAGGCCTCTGTCTCTTTCAAGACTTGACTCTAGCATTACTTTCCTAAAGCCACAAAAGTAGCCTATTTAGAAATCATTCACCTTGGAAATCAGACACTAGTACTTCAAAGGTTGTGAAATTAGGAAACACATTCACTAACCTCTGAGCCACAGAACCCCACACTTACATCCAAAACAAACAAACTGAACAAAGAAGACTGTTACTTACATGATAAACTTCTGGTCAGTATGGAGGTTGACTGTTTTTAGTCATGGCAAGTTTTTGCTACCAGTAGTAGTTGACTTTTGCATTTTCTTCTGTATGTAGACTGACAGGTTATAATTTTGTCGCCCAGATACTAATTTGAGTGGTGCAACACTGAACTGCAGATTTAATTTGGAATGCCTTTCAGCTGTGCCCAACATGTTTTCTGTTGGGAACTGTAGATTCACACAATGGCGAGTGTCCTGTTGCCATTGCACTGGTGCTGCCTTATGTGATTAATCGTGTGTGCAAATTCTCGTCATAATTGCTGCTTTCATTGATGAAGAACTGTATTTCTAGTGTCAGACTATTTGTGTTGGCAATTTTGGAAGCTGGCTTATGCATTTAATGCATTTGTATGTTATTGGATATGCTGAGACTGCAGTATGTATTAATTTGTCTACAAGGGACAAGTATGTACATTTTGTGGTTTTCACTGAGGTTTTTTTAACAACTGATCAGCATCATGACACAGGGGTAGTAACCCATAAGTGCTCCATTCTTCTTCTAACTCAAGTGTGCGGCCGAAGAAGCTCAGCACAGTTCACAGGCTCTGTAGCACCGGCGAAATACTTTGGGCAGATTTTTTAATCAAAACTTTGCCCGGGTAGCACCGTTAGGCTACTCTTTTCGATTTCCAACTGCCAAGGGATTTTTTATCTACGCAATAATGCACACAGGCATCCGATCTCATACCCAGAGACCAGGGGGAATAAATAGAAGTCAAAGTCCACATGAAAAATCCCAGCCCTTACCGGGGATTGAACCCAGAATCTCTAGCACCTGAGGCAGAAACCATGCCTCGAGACCACACAGCCCCCTTGTGGTTTTCATTGGTACAGGAATGGGGCAATCATGGGGTGACCCACTTGCTGTGAAGCTGGAAATGCAAATACCTGATTATTTATATTATCCTTTCTGTGCGATTCTTTTTACTTAAGGTGCTTTAGTTAAGATTTTAGTAGCTTAAACGATACCTGTTTCATAATTTTGTCAGAAGGCTTAAAGCTTGTATAAAACATTTGTCTGTGTGTCACAGGAAGTTATGATGCTCGGATGAGAGTTCTAGTCAAACAGATCGCTTGGAGACTGAAAGTGAAACAAGCCGTTGTCATTGACCTTGAGACAGCTCTTGCAGAAACCTTGGCCTTGACCCAATATGAAATCTCAGAGTAAGTAACGATTTTAGACAGGCGAATGTGATGACAGTTAGTGATGTATTTCTGTTGTATCTCTATATATCTCTATCAGAAAGAGACAGCCATCATTTTTTTGTCATGTTATGAGAAGATGTTGAATGGAACGTGTTGAAATCACTGAAAAGATTTGTAGAAAGGGAGATGGATGGAGACAGTGCGAGAAGATTCTTGACAGCCTTTTGTCATGGTATAGAAGGGTGTCAACGCACGAACGGATACACACAGTTGAGGATCGCAGATTGTGGAGAGGCATGATCGCCCACGCCAGTCGGCAAGGCACTTGATGATGATGATGATCTCTGTTGGCAAATTATAAAATTTGACTTTTTTGTTTGTTTGAATAATACATTTCTTCCAAAATATGAAGTTACATTATTACCCATGTGTCAACTTATTTCTTGGTATAGTGGAAGCACATTAATTTTTGGTGACATTTCTTGAAAATGCCTGCAAATTTTTTAATTTTTAGCTTTCTCTATTTTCACAACAAATAGACCCCCAACAAAAAAATGTGGATTTTTTACGTGCGCAACAATGTACACGGGCGTCCCATCTCATACCCATGAATTTGTTTTAGCTATCTGTGTGTAAACTCAAAGGTTTAGGTTAAATGCCTCATTGTTGATATGGTTACTTTATTCTTTTGTAGAATCCCTGTTGCATACATCAGGGAAATTCTACACTTTGAAACTAGCTCATTTTTCAGAAAATATGTTTAACCAGTTTTTAATTCTTCACCATCAGCAAATTATGGCAGAAATTTCTGGCTGTTCATCTATTTCTGTACGTTTGCTCTTGTTTGAGATCTTGACTTTTATGTGCACACCTGTTTTACATATCTGGCTTGCAGACTGTTGTTTTTTCTCTTCTCAGACGGATGCATTCCAACTCTGAAAGAAACACCCCCTAATTAGTTGCCATCTGAGACATACTTTATTGATAAAATACAGCTGCTGTGTGAAAGATGGATGTTTGGAAGGGCCAATGTAAGACGAGCCTGTGTGCCCAATTTCTGACCCTTTGATAAAAAATGTGTTCGTACATTTGTACTCGTTAGTGGGGCAGAGGATCTGTTCTTGTGTGTGTGTGCTGGCGTGTGTGTGCTTGTACCCCTAAAAATAGAGCTCTAAAACTCACATGAGCAGTTTAAACTATTTATTTTTAAGGGAGCTGTGGTTGCCCAGTGACTATATTTTTGCCTTGTGGCTCTAAGTCTTGGTCTTTGAATACTCACTAAGGTCAATTTGTCTTGGCTCCCAAGGTGACCCTATCTACAGTGTGTACCAGAAAACTTCCTGGGTTAGGTTCACGTTAATCTCCCCAAATAGAGTAGGTCACTTTTCATTCACAAGTTTGTTGAGCTGGTTGACTTTCCTGAAGGTTACTGGTGTGTCCTGCTCTGTTCTTTGCTTTCTGGGATGTCTTGCATTTACATTTTCATTCTGAGAAAGATAATGCCTGTGTCACAGGTTGCAACACTCTCTAGGAGGGTTGTGTTAGGACCAGTTTCTTCATGTTTTTGGAGTGTTAAAAGCGCTGGTGTGCTGAAATATACATGTGATATCAACAGGACTGTGGCAGACACCGTAACCTTGTGCCAAGGTGACAAGTTCAGGAATTGACAATCAGAAGTGAACTAGTGTGTATGTAGGCGGGGCATGGGGAGACCAACATTACTTTTACCAACTTCCTGTCAATGTTGTTTTTTCCTTTTGCTGGCCAGTTTTAATTAAATTGTGTAATATATTCATTGAATAAAATTATATTTTAATTCATGACATTTTTGCTTTATGCTTGTTCAGATAAAACAGGTAAAATTTTTCATTATTGTTTGCTGTATTGTTGAATATTTGTATTTTATTTTATGTTGTTTTGTTGGAATTATGTTTGCTTCTGTTGTAAATAATTGCATGTAATATGAACAATTGTTTTCTGTCTCCCTCTCTCTCTCTATATATATATATATATGTTTATATATATATATATATATGTTTGTTTGTGTGCGTGCATGAAAACAATTTAAAAAAATTAACATTTGAAGGAATGTATGGTGAGAAAAAAATTCAAAGGGATATAATTTCAATTAAAGTTTATTTTTACTGATTGTTAATAAACAAAAGAACTGCAGAATAACCTGGCTCTAATATAAATGTTAAGTAAACTTTGTAACCATAATGGCAATTGAAAATTTAACCCATGTATTTTTCATGGTTTGAGAGAAGGTAGCAGTTGATTTAAAATAAACACACAAAATACAAAAAGAGTTTGTGATTTATAGTATTTCTTATTTGAAGCCCTACTCTGGCTCTTGCCAGCGGCCGCAACATAACCTGGCCATAAATATGGTCTAAGGGCTGAATGCAGTTTCTAGGACCTCTCCATGGTGATCCTCACCTGCATAGTGGCACATTGTGTCATCGGGTGTTTATCTCTTGTGTGATGTCCTAGTGGGGTAGAAAGTCAGTCATTACATTTTATTCTTTACTCCTGGTCCATGTGTTTCCATAATCTCGTGGTAATCTGCATTATCTGATCCTATTTAGACCACCCTTTAATTTTATTTCCTCCTATCTTTTATTATTTATAATTTTTTGAAGTTGCATGTAAAATTCATCTTTAACTGATTTTTTTTTTTTTAGGTGTGCAACACTGTGTTACAGACATTTAGCCGTTAGCACCCCACAATAAAAATCGAACTGGCTCAGAAAAATTGATCACACAAACCTACTCTTGGCCTCCTAGCAATCAAAACAGACAAAGAGGAAGTGAAACCACTCTAGAATAGTTATTTATAGTTTTCAAGTGACGTCACACGCGTAGCTCCGTTTAGGCTTCGTATTCCCCAACCATATATAGATGTCGAGTATACTCGACTGTGGGATGCTACGAGGTGGGCGGCTGAAGTCCAATATACTCGACTGTGGGGTGCTAAAGGTTAATATGTATATATGTATACATACAAAGACATCATATTAAAAATAATTTATTGTAAATTAGTTTACAAAGTAGATTTGTTTACTCTTTTTTTTTTTGCACATCTAGACTTGTATTGTCATCATTTTAAAATAATTTTACATGGTACATCTCTGATACCCCGCTATATGAAAACAGAATTATTTTATAATTAATGTAAACTTGCGTTGCATATGTCATACCTCTTTATTACTGTACATATATTTTATAATTATGATACACTTCTGTTATTTTATTCTTGTGTTTGTATTGTATAACTATTTTATAATCATTAAAAAAAAATTAAAGTGCCCTTTTCCACACCTTTAGGCATAAAGGGCTAGACCTATATTTCATAGACCAATCGGCATAAGATGGGTGATGTGGTCAGCATCAATCCAGCCGCCTCTACCTTCTGGGACTGCACCCGGTACCCACTCAAGGCTGGGTCTACCTGGGAGCCAAGGTTGTTTTTGAAAAAAGTCTAGCTCCACCAGGGAGCAAAGCCATGACCTTCTGATCTGCAGGCGAGTGTCTAACCGCTCTGCCACATCGACTGTTTTATAATCATAGCATATAGCTTGGCAGATATGTACACCACTATAAGAATGTAAAATTATTTTATGATTATCATAGGCTTATGTTACATCCTAGCCGTATCTTACACAGTAAATCCCTGTCATCTTATATTGTACCTGCATTTCTGTGTATGTGTTTGCACATATATTTTATAATTATCATATACTCATATATATCCGGGAAGGCTAACCCGGTCAACAAATGCCTGCATGTGTTGGCCGAAAGGTACAAATATCGCAGCCATGCTGTAAACGGACACAACGCAATTACATCTTCGGATTAACGCAGAAGAAGAAGAAGATATACTCATATACTCATGTCTGCACATGATAAAATTAAATTTTTGTTAAATATCCCAAATGGTCTGGCAGCAGGTGATCTACACTGCCACTGAAGCAGCTGTGTTCGATTTCCCACTTGGAAAAAACCTTTTTTGTATGTGCCTCCGTGGCTTGAGAGTATGTAAATGTTTTTAACAATTTCATGATCCTCGCAGAATGGCAAGCATCGCTTCAGAGATACCAGGTAGTTAGCGCCTGGATATTTTCTCCAGGTTATGCTGGTATGTTGGGAAACAAGCAGACATATAGATTGGCCGGTTCTGCACCTTTTAGTGGTGACTAGATGTATGACAAGCTAGATGTTGGGAGGGTCCTTTGGCAGCGAGTGAACAGTAAGGAGGCACAAAAAGATCATTACAGTGTCTGAAGAGAAGGGCTGTGCAAGGAGTTACTAGGGATCTGATCGATGCTCAACACTCGAGGGAAAGGCGAGACGGATGTACAATCTGAAAGTTACTGGCATCGTCGGAATTGGCACTCTTCACTTGCTGCTGAAAATGGGATGGAGCACTAATGATAGTGCCCTGAGTGTTATGATGTCGATTCTTAATTCAACATTCAACATGATCCTTGAATACCATGTTGGATGATCTGTTTTTAAAAAAAAATTGTTTAATTCATCTCTTTCAGGCATTTTTACGAGAGGCACACAGTGGAAGACTGTGGCCTATGTAGTATTTTCTAAAGACATCATTGGGCACACTGTAACAGACCTTGTTTAGGATGATGCACAGTTTTAATTTGGTTTCACTGTCAAATTTCTCCACCATTGGGTGGTGAATTGATACATGATAAGGCAGATGGGGTCGAGACCCTGTGGGAGCAATCAACGGAATCAGTAGAGAAACAAGATTATTATGGCCTGGAGAGAATGAGGCACCTGGGTGTAACCAGAGGGTCAGGCCGGCTCACTACACTCAGTGGAAAGGCAAGACGAACATATAACCAGATTTTAACCGGTACCATTAGTATTGGAACTCTATGCTGGCTGCTGAAGATGAAGACGGAGCACGCATGGGAATGCCCCAAGTGCTGTGATGTCAACGTCAAATTTCTTATTATTACTGTTGTGGTTATTAGTATTTTTTTTAATACTGCTTTTGTGTGTGTTTTGATTTGATACACATTTATTTTTAGATTATGAGTGATGGTGTCATGACACTCAGGAAATGTGCATGAGTGAAGATGAAGACGGAGCACGCATGGGAATGCCCCAAGTGCTGTGATGTCAACGTCAAATTTCTTATTATTACTGTTGTGGTTATTAGTATTTTTTTTAATACTGCTTTTGTGTGTGTTTTGATTTGATACACATTTATTTTTAGATTATGAGTGATGGTGTCATGACACTCAGGAAATGTGCATGAGTGCTCCATCTCCCTATTATTGTGCAAGTCATGTGAATGGGACAGTTAGAAAACATGGTAGCAGGCAAGCTGGAGGGAAAGAGAGCAAGAGAAGATGTGTGGTGAAGATGGACATTTGGCATTATGATATGAAGGAATTTTCTTCTTCTTCCTCTTAGTCTTCAGTGGCTGTAAACTCCGACAGAAAGTTCTGGTTGTTTAACTACTTCTGGACTTTTTTTTGTTCGAGAACTTAAATTCCTTCCTCCCCACTCAGGCAGATATGCTGAGACTTTGGAGAACAAATCCTTAATTAGTTGCCTTTTATGGCATGCTTTTTAGGAAGGCAGTAGGTCTATTCTTTTCCCTCCTTCTTCTTCTTCTTCTTCTGCATTCGATATCAGTCATGCTAAACATTGAGTCCCGTCTGGGTCACAAATAGGATTGTGCGTTTAAGGTCGCCACCGGTCCCCCATAGCTTCTCTTGCAATGTGGCTCCTTTGGGCCAGATCCACAGTCTTTGCTGGGAGAGGTTAGGGCAGTACTGTAGTATGTGCTCTGGGGTTTGTCTTTCTGCTCCACAATCACAGGCAGCAGATTCTTTTATGCCTATCCTGTACAAGTGTGCTCGAAGACCACAGTGTCCAGTCCGAAGTCTAAAAATTGATGTTTGTTCTTTCCTGTTGAGTTTGTTCCATTTTCCCTCCAAAAATGGGGCCACTGAAACCCACACAGGGATGAGGAAACATTGATTCCAGAAAAAACTGGCACAAAACTGGGCAGATATGATGACACCACACATCATGGATTATAAGAAATATTTGTGATAGTTTCAAACATGTTTTATTAGAGTAAAAATCTAGCATATACCGAACATTTGATCAGACCAAAGATAACACAATGTTCCTGCTCACTATTTTTACAGACTGTCATTATATCAACCCTTTTTTTTAATTTATATTAATAATTGAACTGCTTCAGACCAATACTATCTATTGCATTTATACAAATCAAAGTTAGTACTGCTTTTAGTTAAACTTCTTTGAATTAAAAGAGTTAAAATAACAACTGATGGGAACTGAAAGAGGTAACAATTTTTGATCATCCAGGGAGGAAAGACTCGAAAAAGCCAAAAAGGCAAAAAGGAGAAAATACAAACGATATGCTTTGATTGGTCTGGCAACTATAGGGGGAGGAACTCTAATAGGCAAGTTGTATTTCTAGTTTTATCTGTCAACTTGTGTTTCATATCTAGATTGTAAATTGTAGGAGGATTATTTATTGTGACAGGCTTCTGTTGAGTAAAGTAAAAAAAGGTAAAGTCAGGAGAGGTCTACCAGCGTCATTGCCCACAGTTATAAACCATAAGTGCTCGGCCACCAGTACAGACAGTTTATAAGAAACTGTCCGCCTGCGTCGCCGTCCGCACGCAGCTCCTTAGCTACAGCGGCGTTCCTCCATTACTTAGAGGCTGGGTGAACCTCAGGAACCGCCCGGTTTCGAACACTGGCTGTGGGCTGCAGCGAGTCGCGGCTGGATTTGAAAGCGAGTCTCCTATCAACTTCGCTAATGCAGCCCTTTTTGTTAAAATAAAGCAAAGGACCCTTTTATTTTGCCATTGTTGAATAAGCCATATGGTGTTTTAACATTATGCAGGCTGTCTGAACTTGCAAGGGCACATTCTGGTACTGATTTTATGTTAAGTTGACCTGGGAGCTCTAAGTTAAAAAAGTCTACCTCATTGTGGATTTAAAACCCCTGACCTTTGGCCTGGTGGGCAAACCTCTAGTCACTTCACTTCTGCAATTTCTTTTAATAAAATTCATCTTATATAACACAATTTGAACACTGAGGAGGGAGGCCAAAGGTGCAGGAGTGGGTATTATCCATGATATTAAAGCAGTTGCACAGGATGGAATGGAAAAATTAACTGCAAGCCTTATGTGACATATAATATCACAACAAGATTATAATGATGATATTTCACTATTAAATGTTATATTGTATGATAAGCTAATATATTACATGAGAAACTATTATGTTACAGAAAAAAAAAAAGTATATAGCAGTACAGATAAAACCATTGTTAAAATACTAGAGAAACTAAAATTACTAGAGAAAATAATGTTTACAAATTGTAAATACTGGTGTTAAAATGCAAGATAAACTTACTGTTAAATTACAGGCATATGGGAAGAGCATCCCATATTTTTACAGACCAGTCAGCACTAGGTGAGTAATATGGTCAGCATTGCGCCAGCTGTCTTTACTTCCCCAGGACATACATCATGGTACCCATTTTAGGCTGGGTCGACCTGCGACGACCCATACCATGATAAAAATCTGTCTAGCCAGCAGTGGGTTATGATTGCGGTATGTTTGAATTACGAGTCGGACTCGCAACGCCTAAGCTAAGGGCGCCGCTACTATACAAAAGGATTAGTACATAGTTTTAAAGAGGCAACTGAAAAGGCTGTATTTCTTTTGTATTCTAAGTAACAGAGCATTTTGCATAATGTTTGAGATTCATCAGAACAAGTTTATCACACATGATGGGCTGCTTGGGACCAAAAGAGTTAATCTGTCGTCTTCAACTGTTACACAGTTTGTGTATTGACACTTTCTTGCCATGACAAAAGGCTGTCAAGAAATGTCTCACTTTGTCTTCCTGTGTCTCTCTTTATACATTATGATAAAGACAGTATGCTTATTTTTTTAATGTGATAAAGAAAGCATGCTTAATCACAATTACTTAGGTTCATGTTTGGTATGACCTACAGGGCTCACAGGAGGGTTGGCTGCTCCTTTAGTGGCCGCAGGTGCTGGAGCTATCATTGGGGGCACCAGTGCAGCAGTACTGGGATCTACAGCAGGTGTGGCCATCATTGGGTCACTATTTGGTGTTGCAGGCGCTGGCTTGACTGGTAATTGGTTACTTTGTACTTATATAGATCTATGTCTTCTGGTTACTTTTTACTGCTTTGTTCAAATCTGTATAGTTTTGTTACTTTCTTCTTTCATTTGAGGATCTTTATAGCTTTTGGTTACTTTGTACTGCCATGTATAGATCTGTGTCTTCAGGTTACTTTGTACTGTCATATGTAGATGTAAATTTTTTGGTTACTTTGTATTGTCATGTGTATATTACTTTGTATTGTCATGTGTATATCTATATTTTCTGGTTACTTTCTACTGTTATACATAGATCTATATTTTCTGGTAGTGTTATATGTAGATCTGAATCTTCTGGTTACTTTTTACGTGGTGTAAATTTATGTCTTCTGGTTACTTTTGTATTGTTATGTTTATAGTATATTTTATGGTTACCTTATACTGTTACGTGTAGATCTATATCATTTCGTTACTTTGCCATGTATTTTCTGTTTACTTTATACCATTTTATGTAGAACTTTATCATCTGATTACTTTGTACTGTGATGTGTAGAAATGTAATTTCCAGTTACTTTCCAGTGTTAACGCTAAAGACCACATGATGAACAATCAGGACTTTCTGCCGGACCTTACAGTCAGTGAACAAAAAAAGAAGAACTATAGGAGTTATTGAACTATTTAATAGTTAAACTGTAGAGTAGAACATCTGATGGTGCATTTATAAATTGAAGGAAAAGCCTGTATGCCTAAAAACTATTGATGCCCCAGAGTAAAAGAATATCAGTTGATTGATTGAACCCTAAGGTATTCTTGCGTGCAGTTTGAAACAGTTTCACTCTTTAAGTTACAACAATTTTGAATATAAGAATTATAACAAAATTATGTTCCTACCAGGATCTAAAATAATATATTTTTTTAAATAGTGAGTTTTACTGTTGAACTATTGAAATATTAAGGTTACAAGAAAAAATAGAGAGTTCATGTTGTTGCACTGTTTAATTGTTGAACTGTTTAATTGTTGAACTGTTTAATTGTTAAACTGCTTAATTGTTAAACTTTTGAACTGTTTCATTGTTGAACTGTTGGAATGTTAAGGCTACAAGATGAAAAAGAGAATGGGTGCCATTGAAGAGTTTAGCTTTGAACCCCTGGTTGGGGGTAGCAGCTTGAAAGCTGCTCCTCTGGTGAAACAGCTGAACATCACCATAGCTGTGACAGGGTGGCTCAGTGACACCAGCAGAGGTATGTACTCACACACTTACACACAGTGTGTGTACGTGTGTTCTATAAAGTGGCTGTTTCATAGTTACTGTACACTGTGGGTCTTTTTTCTTACTATAAAGTGTCTGTATCCCAGTTATCACACCGTGGATATTTTCCTTATTAAAATACAATAGCTATCTCTTTGTTACTATACATTGTCTATCTTTTTGTTACTTTACAGTGGCTACCTCCTTGTTACTATACAGTGCCTATCTCTTTGTTACTGCGCAGTGGCTATGTCTTTGTTTCTATACATTATCTGTCCCTTTGTTACCTTACAGTGGCTACCTCCTTACAGTGGCTATGTCTTTGTTACTATACAATGTGTAACTCTTTGTTACTATACAGTGCCAATCTCTTTTTTATTTTACAGTGGCTGCCTCCTTGTTAATTTACAGTGGCTTTATCTGTGTTACTATAAAGTGCGTATCTCTTTGTTACTTTACAATGCCTATGTCATTGCTACTTTACAGTGCCTATCTCTTTGTTACTATACAGTGCCTATGTCTTTGTTACTATACAGTGCCTATCTCTTTATTACTATACAGTGCCTATGTCTTTTTTGCTATACAGTGCCTATCTCTTTGTTACTTTAAAGTGGCTACCTCCTTGCTGCTATACCGTGGCTCTCTCCTCATTGCTATACAGTGCGTATCTCCTTGTTAATATGCACATGGGCTATCTCCTTGTTACCCACAACACAGTGGCTTTCTCTTTGTTTCTATAGTGACTATTGCTTTATTGTTGCTAAGCAGTGATTATCTCCTTATTAAGATGGTCTCTTTATTGAAATTAACCCCCCTTCCCCTCCCGCCCCTAAGTCCACAGGGGCACACAGCATGTGTCTTTGACCTTTGTTGTTGCTATACAGTGACTATCTCAAGCTCAAGATATTCACAGCATGTGTCGTTAATCCTTGTCGGCTGTGGCTGTACATGGATCTCTATAGAAGAATAATGGCACATACCCTTGCCATCCATCATACAAATCCTAGGATTGGTTTCTTATGAGGTTGTCAGTTAAATTATGATATAGAGTGTATGTATGTAAAGGTGGCGGGGAGTGGGAGGTGGGGGGGGGTGGAAAGAGGCACTCTGCTAAATTATACTGTGCATTAAATTGCACCGGTTATGAGTTATGACGAAAAATTCTAGTTATTTGTCCACTTCAGGGCTTTGGTCTTATTCCAGAATTTAAGTTTTGCATACACATTCGTTTTACAAATCTGACTTTTTGTGTGCATGCAGACTGTTGGTTCTCTGCCTGTCAGGCAGATGCACTCAAACTTTAAGAAATACCTCTAATTAGTAAACTTTTACAATGTGCTTGTTGGGTGTGAGGCAGTGGGTCTATTTCCCCATGATGATGATAATTCTGTCAAAGGATACATCCTAAATCCATTATCGTTCTTCCCTTCTCTGGCGCAGACTTCAAGGAGCCTTGGAAGAATCTGTCAGTGTCGCAGGAACAGTACGTCTTGTGTTGGGAAAGCAAGTATTTGGTGCAGCTTGGTCAGGCCTTTAGTTACATCATCAATTCAGCCGCGACTTTAGCAGCAAAAGAAGCTTTGAAGTTCACGGTTCTTCGAGGTTTGTTGTCTTCTGAAAATATCAAATTTATCGTCAGTGTTTTTTTTTCTATAATTGTCTATGTTTTTTTGTCTAACTTTATTGTCATCATTAAGCTAATGAAAATAGATCTCTAAATACAACAATAAGAAAGAGATTAACACTGTTCTTTGGCCACATAATGAGACGAGAGACATTGGAGAACATTGTGACAACTGGAAAGATCAGTGGAAAAAGGGGAGAGGCAGACCAAGAGAGATGGTGCTGGATGGGCTGAAACAATGGCATGGAGGAATATCATTAAGAGAGCTGTTCTAGGCAACCGGGGATCGTGATCTGTGGAGACGCATAAGCGTCAACGCCAGTTGGCAGGGCACATGATGATGATGATTGTCATTCAACAAATTATCATCATAAACATTATTATTGTGTCTGTCTTTTCTTGTAATCATTATTGTGAGTACCGTCATCATTACCATCTTTATCATCGTCATTTTTCTCATCACCATCTTTATCATCACCATTTTCCCCATTACTGCCATCACTATCAGTTTCACCATCATCCTCATCACTATCACTGTCATTTTTGCCATCGTTATCACCATCACCATCTTCATCATCATTATCTTCAGAATCATTACCGGCATTATCACTATCAATATCATCGTCACTGTTATTATCACTACTGTTAATATCATCACTATAATCACTATCACCATTACTTTGTTATGTTATGTTTTCACAGTCCACATCACTGCACATTGGGCATTCTCATGTGTGCTCAGTCCTCCCATGCAGCAGCCACTCCAAAGTACTTCTACTAATTGTTCCTATGAGAAACTGGTTATGTTGTCTCCTATCTCGGCCTTGAAGACGGCATAGATGTGCTTCACCATGCTTTACTCCCATGTCACGCAATCATGTTAGTGTCAGGGATCCCCCATTATCCACTAGCCCAGTCTGTGTAGCATTGACGATATATGCTCGGTCCATGATTCTTCCCACATGCATTGGTGCATTGCTTGCCAGTTGGTCCGCTTGCTCATTACCCTTTACACTCGCATGACCAGGTTTGTAGATCCAGGCGAGGGGGGTTAAGTTTGATTTTTGAATGCTTTCTACCCATTCAGAACACATCATCCATCAGTTCTCGTTATGCCTAGTGGCACATGAGGCTTCAGAGAGGACTTTCCATGCTTTCCTGTCCTGTGCAATCTTCAGTGCAGTTTTCCATGTCAAAGATGCTGCACTCAGGTCACTTTCCATCGTTCATCTCCATGTTGTTTTTGGGCACTCCTGTTTTCTCTTTCCCTCTGGTGTCCATGTGACAGCTGTTTTGGCGAGTATTTCAGGATTCATTCTCATAACATGGCCAAGCCATTTCCATCTTCTCTTGGTTGTCATACTGTCTAAAGTTTCTTGGTTTGTGACTTGTATTAGTTTAGTGTTTGAGATTGTATCTAGCCAAAAATTTTGATAATTCTACGTAGACATGTGTGGTGGAAGGTGGACAGCTTGTGTGCATCCTTTTTGGTCATTCAGAACACATACTGCCTGTTACTATCTTCTGAAGCATTTTCATGGAGTCTGAAACAATTACTGCCTGTGCTGCGGTTTGCTCAGATACCCATGCTAGTGCTCTAGAAGCAGCTGCTATCTCCATAGTCATGCTTGATGTGGTTTTTCTGGTAAGCGCAGCTGTTCTCTTGTATTGTTCCTCCCCCCCCCCCCTCCCCCACCACCACTATCATTGTAATCATTACCATTTCAGCGATTGATGAAATCTCTCATCTGTAATACTTGTCTCCAACACTAGGCCTACTAGCAGCCGTTACATGGCCCGCGGCACTGATCTCTGCTGGAGCTGTGATAGACAACCCGTGGTCAGTGGCCGTCCAGCGATCCCAGGCCGCAGGGCAGATGTTGGCAGATGTCTTACTTGCCAGAGAACAGGTACGCCAGTTTGTTAATTTCTTCTCTCCGCCTGGGTCACAGATCCATATTTTTGGAGGAAGAAGAATAGACCCACTGCCCAACCAGCAAACATGTCATAAAAGCCAACTAATTAAGGGTGTTTCTTTCAGAGTCTCAGTACATCTGCCAGAGGTGAGGAACCAACAGTCTGCATACAACTAAGCCAGATCTGTAAAATGACTGCACACAAAACTCATGTTCTGGAACAAGACCCAATTCCAGAAGTGGGCGAACAACCAGAACTTTTCACCCGAGTTTACAGCTGGTGAATGCTATGAAGAAACATTTGTTCTAGCTGGCTTTATTAATATCTTTACTGTGGGGATCCTTGTTTTAGTGCTCAATAAAATCATTGAATAAGTTTGAAACACAGATTAACATGTATTGTTTGGCACTTTTAGATGTAGAGAAAAGAAGTAAAGCTAGTCAGTCATGTATCTTCTTTCACCCAGAGAAGTCGCTAACCCAGCACATCCTTTAGTGACAATCTTGTAAATGCCACTTAACTGGCAGTGCTGCAGTGGCCTGTCTCCGCGAAGCCTGGTTAACGGCATTGGCTGTATTTGCACCTGCACCATATTTAGGAGGTCCAGATGTGATTATATTTTACCAAAAATAGCAGGTTATTGAGTGAAAAAAAAAGACTATTTTAACTCTTTCAGGCCCATACATTTTGACAGACTTTAAGATTGAAATAAAGTAAAGTGATGATTCCTTTTCACGCCTTTGGGGCATCAGGCATATGGGAAGAGCACCCTATATTTTTACAGACCAATCGGCACTAAGTGGTCAGCATTACGCCGGCCATCTTTACTTCCCCAAGACATCCATCCTGATACCCATTTTATGCTGGGTCGACCTGCGACACCCCATACCAGGATAAAAATCCATGTAGCCAGCAGTGGGTTTCGATCGTAGTACGTTGGAATCATGAGTCAGACTCGCAGCACCTAAGCCACAGATGTCACTATTTTGACAGACTAGGCTCGCATTTATTTCCCTTCACAAAAATGGCAGAGTAGGTGGTGTTGGAAAAACAAAAGCAATAGAGAATGTAATATATTTATAATCCCTGCAAAATTATGTATTTGTTTAAAGAGGAATTGATGTACATTTTGAATCTGATGATATGTACATGTTTAATTTGATTATAGTGAGTACCCAAAAAATAAGAGAATTCAACAGGTTTCAGGTTTACAAAATCACAATTTTACACACACACACACACACACAAATTCACTTCACTTGCCATGGTTTTGCAGCCACAAGATCAGTAAATATCCAAATTTGAGAATAACACTTTAAAGTTGTCCAGTTTCCTAAACAAATTCTAAAGTTATGATAAGTTTCTAGGTTAGTTTATCACTCAGAGGCTCTCGGTTCTTATAGAGTGCTGAACAAAATTTCAAAGAAAAATGGCAGAAAATTGACCATTAAACACAAAATATTTACTTTGTAGTTATATAAAGACTGTAGCTGCATTGATTTCAATGCAGATTAGCCATAGAATGAGTCTGCTTGAAACGGTTCATTGGATGCAAGTGTGGTGACTATCACATCCTTTGCAAATGGTTTTAGCTCAACGGAACTGCAAGGTTCTCTGACATGTGACTGTAAATTTACCGTCCAAATCACTCTGGGAAAAATTTAAGTTTCCGTTATCATTATCAGAATTAAAATACATCTAACTGAAACAATATCAGAGCTTCAGCCAAAGAAAGGTGCATTTTTCAGCGTGTACTTGTGTTTGGAACATTGGTATTGATAGCCAGTCAAAGATGAAATCATAAAATTCACAATCTGAAAATGAGGCTAGCAATGAATCGGATAAATCTGCACCTAAATGTTTGAACAAAGACTGTAAACAACGCACATATGTTAGAATAACCTTCCATGTATATTTTAATAGTATTTCCTTATATTATAAATGAATACAGACTTGGATAAGCAACATTAGAAACTGGACATTTCAGCCAAAATTAGCAAATATCACAGCTATGTTGTAAACAGGTATAATCCAAAACAAAATATAGGACGAAGGAGACTAAAAAAAAGTTTATGCATTTTGGGAAAGAGAATATGATACTATTCTTCTTCATCTGGTTGTTCTAGAAGAGTTCACTTCAATCACAATGCCTGTATTCTGACCCCTGATGTCAGTTCGTTGACTGGAAAGTCATTAGGCTGTTAAACAGTCATGAGCTGTTCAGCTACTGAACTGTTGAGATTAAAAGATCAAGAAGAGAATTGGTAGTTGTCTAACTGTCTTTCCCTTATTATTTCAGCTCACATGTTTTCACCCACATTTCTGTTATGTCAGGATTTATTTTTTTTTTGCTCTTTTAACTACAGGGAAACAGGCCAGTAACTCTCATTGGTTTTAGTCTAGGAGCAAGAGTTATTTTCTCTTGCTTAGAAGAATTATCTAAAAGAAAAGGTGAGGTAGTTGATTCTGATGTTTATTAGTCAGTATTTGACATGTACAGATAGTAAGTTATTTCAGTCTTCTTCTTCTTGCACTTTAAAATGTTCATGTATTTAGTGTGACTGGTAATCATGGCTGCCTCTGTCTCATGTTTGTGATAGGTTGTTTTTGTGTCTTTGTCGCTTTCAAAACATTTAGAGAAATGAACTATTAAAAAGTTTCAACCTATGCTCAGTTAATGTAAATTTCTGTAATCTATGATGCTATTTCAGTGGTTTGAGACAAATTCTGTCTGTATTCTCTAGTTGTGGATTCAAGCTGTACAATAGACATGGCTAATGAAAACACTGTTGGTGGGGGTGGGGGGTGTTAACTAGTTGGTTATTCACCTTAGTACACTTGCCTCTGCAGCAAAGCTTTGTCATCATTTGGAGGTGACATGTTCAGTTCCCAGCATGGTAACTAAAGCTTTTGATTTGTATGTTGTCTAGTGTGTCCTTCCATTTTTCTATTTTTTTAAATGGGTGCCGATCAATACCGTGTTTGCTTATTATGTTCGAAACATCTTGATTAATCATTTGGGCTGTCCAGATAATTTTAGGTCTGTTTCTTCTTCTTTTCTCTACTCCTGGAAAGCCTTGTGGCGTCAGGGCAAGGAAGAGATCTATGGAACGGGCCCTTCTGTTCGCTTTGAATGAAATACTTTTAAGCGTCTTTGATTTTTGTAGTCCATTTCTGTGTGGTCGACCTTCGGATCTGTTACCATTATATCTTATAACATTGCTCTCTGTGGTGCCCTGTCTGATGCCAGTCTTGTTACATTTGGTTTTTTGTCTAAGGTTTAGTATTGGTTCTGCGCTGACTCCTCCTGATATCATCGTTCCAAAGCCAATCTTTCCTCGTTACACCTAGCATAGTGCGTAAACATTTCATTCTGAAGACAGTGTCTATGTTTGAACATTGATAGCATGGCGGTTGGTAAGAGTACAGTGTTGAACAGTGCAAACATTCCTTGTATTACCTCCAGTCACAGTCATTTATTCCATAGAGTTGCTCTTCATTTTATTAAATGCAATTTTTGCCTGTCGTGTTTTTTTTTTCTTTTAAATCTCTGTGGTACATCTTCAGGTCAATGCTGGTGTTTCCAATACAACATTTCTCCATCACCCAGTCAGAGATGAATGTAAAATTGTGACAACAGAATTAAATGCTTTAGAAGAGCTGCAGGAGTTTCAAGAAAAGATGGAATAAGAAATCAGATGAATACTAGGAATAAAGCCAATCTTTCAGGTCATCAAAGAACAACAAATTAAGTAGCTTGGACAATTAACAAGAATGCCCTGATACTGTCTACCACAGCGAGACACACTGAAATGTTACAACCGGTATAGAGCGAGTGGAAGGCGTCAGAACAAAATAGAGTGTCGGTATTAGGAACAGCCTTACAGAAATGAACATCAATTTTAATGGTGCTCTTGAAAGAGCTAATCAGCGAATGTTATCTCTCCCTTACACTTCACTGAGGTACAATATGGATGAGAAGAAGAAGAGTCAGTGGTTATGCCAAATAACAGAGGAGATACAATGCATCCCTGTTTCACTCCAGTAACAACTTCAGACCAATCACATAAACCATCATCTGTTCGCACTGCACACTCTGAACCTTCATACATTGCCTTGATACAAGTATTTATTGTTTTCATTTGTGTACCATAGCATTTTTTTTAAATTTTCTATAGTGATGTTCTCTATAAACTATCAAAAGGCTTCTTAACGTCAATGAAATTTTAAAAAAAAAGGGTTGTTGTTTTACAATAAATTCCTAAAAAATAAGTCTCAGAGTGAATTGATCTAAGCAGCTTCTTCCAGGTTGAGAATCTGCTTGTTCCTCTCTCAGGCTTTTGTCCACCACCCATTTAATTCCATTGAGAATTATTTTAGAAAACGTCTTTGACATTACTGATAACAAAGTAATTTTTGTCCAGTTGTTACAGTCTGTAAGGTTACCTTTCTTTGGTGGAACTTTAACAATTATTTCTTTCTTCCACTGATCTGGGATTTTTTCATCTGCCTAAATTCTATTCAACAAATCTTTCACTTGGTTTATGGTTACATCATCTGCTGCCTTAAACATTTCTGCAGTAATATCATCATCACCTGCTGTCTTTTTGTCTGCTAAGGAATTGATGTGTCTCCCTGATTTCCCTCTCATTTATCTGTCCTACATTTATTGGTAATATGGTCATTTTAGCCCTTCATTAACATTTCATTGTTTTTTGTGGACTAGGTCTGTTTAAGGTTTCTTGGAAGTGTTCTGCCCATCTCATCTTCTGCTTAGTATCAGATATAAGCACTGTACCATCCTTACTTTTAACGGAATCACCCTGCAGTTTAAAAGTTTTAAAAAAAAAGTAAATGTCCCTTTTCTCACACCTTTAGGCATATAGGGCATATAAGGCTAGACCTATATTTTTATAGACCAATCGGCACAAGATGGGTGATGTGGTCAGCATCACACCGGCCGCCTTTACTTCCCGGGACTGCACCTGGTACCCACTCAAGGCTGGGTCGACCTGGGAGTCAAGGTCATTTTTGAGTATTGTTTAAAAGTACTAGTTAAAATATATACTGGTGTGTTTGTGTGTGGGGGGGAGGGGGGTAAGTTAATCTTTACTCACTATAGTTAAAAATTATTACTGCAGTGTCTGTTCTGCCATTTTAACTTTCTGTTTATTTTTTTGCACTTGATCTTTTATCTATTCCTTTTAAGATAGGATTTAAATAGGTGTATGTTCTAAACTGGCTTTGTTTTGTTGTATTATTTGACCAGGAAGTGAAGGAATTGTTGAAGATGCTGTACTCCTGGGTACACCGGCACCTGCAGATCCCAAAGTCTGGGCAAGATTTGCTCATGTTGTGGCAGGCAGGATTGTCAATGGTTACAGCAAGTGGGTGTGGCTTGTGTTACAGATAAATGTGGCTTTTGTTATAGAGAAAAATGGCTTATGTTATAGGTAGATACTGCAAGTGGGTGTGGGTAGTGCTACAGGTAGATACGGCAGATAGATGTTGCTTATGTTACAGGTAGATACCTTACATGGGTGTGGCTCAAGTTTAAGGTAGATACATTAAGAGGATGTGGCTTGTGTTACAGGTAAATACCATAAATAGGGGTGGCTTGTGTTACAGAAAGAGTTATTCTTGTGTTATTTCTACAAACTGCAGGTCAGTGTGACTTGGGTTATGGGTAGAATCTGCAAGTATTTATGACATTTATGTCAGATGAAAGATGGGGGTCCTAATCTAAGAATAGAGTGGGGGGGGGGAGTTTGTTGTGTATACTTTACTACCCGTGTTTGTTCCTGGGACTGATGTTAGGGATAAAAAGAATAGGCCAACAATTCTTTAACAAATGTTTCATAAAAAGTGACTAATTATTGATGATTTGCCTACATTGGATGTCTTGTGATGTTCCAGATCGCATTTTAGGGGGGAAAATAAAAGATGAAATGTTCTGTAACAAGCTTGTCATAAGGATTTGCCTAAATCAGATGAAGTTTCAAGTTTGAACAATGGATCACCATCATTGCACACGGGTAGTAACCCAAAAGTGCTCTGTTTTTCTTCTAACTCAAATCTGAGTCAGAAGAACCTCAGCTCAGTGCACAGATTCTGTAGCACTAGCGAGGATCCTAAAATACTTTGGGTAGATTTTTAACTCCAAATTTTTCCGGGCAGCGGCGCTAGCCTGCTTTTTTTTATTTCCAACTGCCTATGGATTTTTTACGTGCGCAACAATGCACACAGGCGTCAGAACTCACTACCGCGAGACCAGGGGGAATTACTAGAAGTCAAAGTCCATGTGAACAAATCCCAGCCCTCACCGGGGATTGAACCTGGAACCTTCAGCACTTGAGACGGACACCATGCCTCAAGACCACGCAGCCGCTTCTTCCCCCCTCCCCCATCAGATGTGTTGAGATGTAATGAGGTTCCATGTTAGAAGAAAACAGTATACACTAATTAAGGATTAGCCTAAATCAAATGTGTGGCAGATATCACAGACTAGTGATGCGGAAGAAGTAGAAGAAGAAGATAGTGTTTACACGATTTTGCAAACCAACCCCGGCATGGCATGTATAAGCTGTAGTGTAGTTTTACTAGGTAACTTTGCATTTAGTAGTCTGTCAATGCTTTCTTGAAGGTCGTAGGTTCAGGTCCTGAAGAAGTCAAACTTTTCAACAACAACAGAATGACATTGGATCACAGGCCAAGCCAGCCTTGAATTGGTGCCAGGTAAAGTCCTGGGAAGTAAAGGTGGCCGTCATGATGTTGACCCCATCACCCACTGAGTGCTGATTGGTCTATAAAATGTAGGTCTAGCCCTATATACCCTATATTCTCAGTATACCTGAAGGCATGGGAAAAGTGTCCTTTACTTTACTTGACACTGCATTCTTAACAACCACCCTCAAAATGTTGTTAAAATCAATGCTAGGTGGCTTGCTACCAAATCAGCTGCAGCTGACTTCAGACCTTGTTATGTCTGGGGTTGTGAAACTGCATTGACAGGCTCTAGTCACAGATATTGCCCATGCAGTTTCATCTAATGAGGGTTCAGGTTCTGTCTCTACTGTCATTGGTTCATGTATATCATTCATATCCTCACAATCATTCATATCACAGTCATTCATATCCTCACAGTCATTCATATCCTCACAGTCATTCCTATCCTCACAGTCACTCATATCCTCACAGTCATTTATATCCTCACAGTCATTCATATCCTCACAGTCATTGGTTCATGTATATCATTCATATCCTCACAGTCATTCATATCCTCACAGTCATTCATATCCTCACAGTCATTCATATCCTCACAGTCATTGGTTCATGTATATCATTCATATCTTCACAGTCATTCCTATCCTCACAGTCACTCATATCCTCACAGTCATTTATATCCTCACAGTCATTCATATCCTCACAGTCATTGGTTCATGTATATCATTCATATCCTCACAGTCATTCATATCCTCACAGTCATTCATATCCTCACAGTCATTCATATCCTCACAGTCATTGGTTCATGTATATCATTCATATCTTCACAGTCATTCTTATCATAGATTTCACTGCAGTATTCCTGCCATCTTTCTAGAGTTTGTCTAGATTCTGTCAGGTATTTCCAACTTGTCAGCGCATAAATGCCTATGAATACAAATAGATGGGTTCTAAGAATATCATGGGTAAAGAAAAGAACAAATGCATCCATACTTCAAGAACTGAATATTGAGTAAGGTTGGCTATTAATGATGAAAAACAACAGAAAATTTTAATATTTTTGTAACTTGAAATGTCACGAAAGTTTAGAGAGAACAATATTTGAGAGGTATATACCCGGAAAGAGAGGAAGAGAAAGGCCAAAGAGAAGATAGGTGCAGGATGTGGTGGATGATCTCCAGATGGGGGAATCTGGACATCTTGCTTGTGATCAAAAAGTTTTCTAGAGGGTTCTTATGGGAGCAAGGTTCTGTAAGGGGCATGTTACTAGCTTAGGTCACAGATATGATACAGAGACCCAGCCAGAGCTGTACTTTAGAAGATAAAAATCCCATGTAGGCTCCGGGGCCCCACTGTGGGAAGAACAAGAATAGACCCACTGCCTACACAATCAGCATGTCGAGGCATCAACTAAATGGAAGCTTCTTTCAAAGTCAGAGTGCATCTGCCTGAGCGGCAAGGAACAACCAGCTGCACACAAATTAACTAGTGTAATAGATGTAGATGCAAAACTCACAAAGCCAAAGTCCAAATGAATGAACAGCCAGGAACTTATGCTGGAGCTTTCATCTAGTGAACAAGGAAGAAGAAGATCAAAAGTATCTTATGTAATAGGTCATTTTCATTGAATGTTAGAAACCTTACCGTATGGGTTCAGGGCTCCATTTTTGAATATATCCACTGTGCCCTAACAAGCATCTAGTAAGAGGTGACTGATTAGGGATGTCTCCTTTACTGTCAAAGTACATCTGCCTGAGAGGCAAGGAACCAATAGTCTGCATACAAATAAGTACTATATGTAAAACAGATGTGAACACAAAAGTCTAATTTTGGATCAAGACCAAAATTTATTAGTAGATGCACCCTAAAAAGAAGGAGAAGAAGAATGTTTGAAAGACAACACTGAAATTTTTAATAAAACTTGTTCTCTTGTATGGTAGTTGTATGGCAATGAGAGTCGGCTCTTTGGCTATGTTGATTCGAACGCATCGTTATGCCAGGATGCTGGGTTTGATCCCAGCTGCGGGCCATGTGCCTTCCGTTGGTTTTGACAGTGGTATCAAGAGAACCGACCGTCCAGAAAGCAATGGCAAACTACTGGACCTAAATTTGCCTAGAAAAACCACACAACAGCCAGGGGCTGTTGGGGTTGGTTTTGCAACGTCCTGTAAAGGATATGCAACCAACCTTTATGGCAACGAGTGTGTGCCCTAGTGCTTTAATATCCAGATTGAGATTTTGTAATCTCAGGCTGATAAAACCTTCAGGCAGCAGACTGGGGAGTACCAAAATCAAAATAAAAAAAGATTCCTTATCATAAAGAACACAAGTCAGATGTTTTGTCTGTAATGTCATGTCCATTGTTAGCAGCATTAACCTGGTGTATTTCCCCCACAGAGGAGACTGGTTGTTGAAGTTCCTCTATCGAGCCTCATCAGTACAGCTGCAGATAGCTGGACTAGGTCCAGTCAAGTGGGTGGACAGGAGGATGCATAATATAGATCTTACTGATGTGGTAAGGGAAGTAACCGGCGATATTTCTACTCTTCTTTTGCTTGTTGTTATTATTATTACTTTTATTATTAATTTTCTCTCTTCTGCTTCTTCACTTCTTCCTCCTGCTTTATCGTTTTATTCATCCTCTTCTTCTTTTGTATCTTGTTCTGCTCCCTCTTCTCTTTTTCAATCTTCTGCAGCTTCTGCTCTTGCTCTTTATGTAGATAGGATTTTTTTTTTTCAAGTGTCCAGAATCCATGAGTGGTAAACCCTTTGGCTTGGTACTATGGATATCGCAACCCTTTGGCTTTGATTTTTTGATAGATACTGTAAACCTGTGAGAAATGTGGCTTTTCTGCCTACCCCTGGGCGTGAACCCGAACCACAAGGGGTTCGTCACACGGTCGCAGTGAAGTCTGCTTCAACCAGCTACACTAGCGAGCCGGGTGTAGATAGGATTGGTGTTTTCTTTGAAGTCAAAGAGTGCATCTGCTTGAGATGTGAGGAACCAGCAGTCTTCACACAGTAAGCTAGATCTGAAAAATAGATGTGCACATAAAATGCAAGTCTTGGAAAAATTCAAGTTTGCACAGACTAAAAGAGGCTAATTTCACAGAGGAAATGATGATTAAGGAAACCAAGTTTTGTTTGTTTTTGTTTTAGCATATTCTTTACTAAATACAGAAAGTCTCAGAACACACTGTACAATGGCTGAGATTCATAAGAAAAAGCCAGTTAAATGTCAGACACTTGTTTAAAGCTTACAGATTTAGCTTGCTAATTTTTTTAGAAAAAAATTACATGTCAGAATTATTTTATATGTCTTTTTTTTCTTTTTCCTCTTTTGTCCTACTTCTTCTTCTGCCATCTATCCCCCAATGGGGCATAGGCCCTCGACCAACTCATGACAGGTTGTTCTATACTTTGCTAGTGCATGCAGCTCTCCCCATGTTCTTCCCATCTTATTAACTTCACTCTCCAGCTCCCTTCTCCATTTTTTTGTCTTCCTTTATTTTTATATCCTTGTGGTTTCCAGTGCAAAGATATTCTAGTTATTTTGTTCTCATGTTTCCTCAGTGTGTATCCTATCCAACGCTTACGTGTTATCTTCACCTCTTGGTCCACTGGAACTTGTTTAGTTCTCTCCCAAAGTTCAACATTAGTGATTCTATCACACCATTTAACTCCCATTATTCTGCGGAGGCACCAGTTAATGAATCTTGTAGTTTATTAGTAACTGCCTTAGTTGTTTGTTCTCCGTGTTTCTGCTCCATACAGCAGTACTGATTCCAGATAAGAATTTTTAATTTTAAAGTTTAGTATTAATTTTAATATTTTTTTACCTCCATACATTTCATAGTACTTTGAAAGTTCCTCTTGCCTCTTGTTTTCATATTTATTTTAATATCTCTCTCAGTTACCCCATCTTTATCGACATTACTGTCCAAATAGGTGTAAGACTCCACGTCTTGAAGTTAGGTACCATTAAGAGAAACCACATTACTATTTGCCTGATTTAGTCTCATTATCTTTGTCTTTCCTTTATTTATTTTCGCAACTGGCTATTGTGATCTTGCCTCTAGTATATTTTATTTATCTTGCATCTGATTCCGTGACTGGCACAGAAGAGAAATATCATTGGCAAAGTCCAGATCATCAAGCTGTTTTGTATGGATCCACTAAATTCCATTCTTGGTGTTAGCAGTTGCTGTCTTCATAATTAAGTTTATTTCCAGAAAAAATAGGCGACAAAAGACATCCCTGTTGCACACTTGTTCTTGTTTGAACTATATCCGTAAGCTTTTCCGCATGAAGAACTCGACATTTCAAGTCTTTATGTTTTGCTTTTACTAAATTAATAATTATCTGTGGAGTTCTGCAGTGCCCCATCAATTTCCAGAGATATTCCCTATCAATGCTATCATAAGCTTTTTCATAGTCTATGAATCCTATGTAAAGTGGTGAGTTCAGTTCAATTCTTTGCTCTATTATGAGTAATGTGGCGATCTGGTCAGTGCAGGATCTGTTTGGCAGAAAACCTGCCTGTTCATCTCACATCTTTTTATCGGTAATATATTTTAGTCTTTCCAAAATAATCCTACCTAATATTTTTCCAGGAACATAATTCCTCTATAGTTTTCACACTCCTGTAGATCACCTTTTTTGGGGCAGTTTCACAAGATATCCTTCTCTCCAGTCTGCTGGTATTTCTTTGGTCTCCCAGACTTCACTGAATAAACTATGTAGCAATTCTGTTGATGTGTTTAAATTGGCCTGAATAACTTCTGCTTGGATACCATCTGGACCTGCTGTCTTTCCTTCCTTCAGAAGATTGATAGCTTTTCTAATTTCCTGTGTTTTTTTTTTAGATGGTATCTCACAGTTGATATCCAGTTCCATTTCTAAAGTCTGGATATCTGAAGGAACCTCAGGGGCTGGTCTATTCAGAAGTAATTTAAAATATTCTGTCTTTTTGATCTTTATTGTTGGTGAGTATTTTTCCTTGACTATTTTTAATTGATCCAGTTGGCTGATCTTTGTCTTGTCCCACTGCTTGTACCATAAAGCATTGCTGAGAGGAATTACATATAGTTTCCTGTTTTTTGCTAGTTACTAAGTTTGTGTTAAGATCATATTGTGTTACTGTAGTGTCTCTTTTACTTCCTTCATACATCTCTTGACTTGTAGCCTGCTGTTCTCATGTATTACGCTCTGCCTGCTGGCTGATTTTGTTTTATTTCGACCAGGCTACCAAACCTTCTGGTCTTTCATGCCCCATGAAATCATGTACCAGTACAATGGCTGCCATTGTCCTTAGTTCTACATTGGTGACTCTATCCCTTTTTGTTGTTCTCATGCATCCTATCTCACATGTAACTTTATATTTATGTTTTTCTAGGACTGTCTGGCATTGATAGCACGAAGTTGGGATGAATTGCACATTTATCGATTGCTCTTTATGTGTGTGCATGTTGATATTTTGATGTCTCAAAAGTGGCACTGTTTGGTAATTTATGTTGTCAGTATTCTTTATTCGGTTTTGTATTTCTCTGACCCGTCCTCCATCATCTGTGGATACAAGCCGTGTCCTAGACTGCCAAAACTGCAAAAAATCCACGATTTTTATTTTTGTTGTTCTCATTAGGACGGTTCTGAGGTCAGTCAAGTCTCACTTTCTAGAATTTTCTGGTCAAGGAAGGAAATGAGGAAAGAAGCAGGTCACTTGTCTTGTATGTCGTGATCTAGAATTTGTAAAGGCCTCACACTTCAGACTCCAGAGGTGGTAATTGCTATCAAATTTCTTTTGTCTTTAAAGCGATTAATCTTGTGTTTTTATCATATTGCAACTGTGACCATAAGTATAGGGACTCTTCTTGACTGCTGAGAAAGGGGACAGAGCTCAAATGGGAATTTTCCAAGTGCAGTGATGTCAGTTCTTGATTCATTCATTTATTTGTTCATTCATTCATTCATCATTCAAGCTGTGAATGCATTTTGGCTAGTGTTTATCTTTCTCTTACAAAGGTTTCTGGCCACCTTGAATATAAACAGCAGCTGGATACCATCTTGAAGGCTGTTGGGATTCAGACGAAGGCCAGCCAATCATCAGATTCTCCATTGGATGTAACATCTGATGCAGAAACCTGTGCTAGTGCTGTCTCCACTCTGAGCATGATAGATGAGTTGTCCAGTTCTGATGATGATGATGAGTTCCTAAGTGCCATGAAATCAGATTCAGCTCAAAAGAAGAGCAGTCAGACTGCTCTAGGCTGTGATGCACATGGTGAAGAGCACAAACCAGAGTCAGTTTCTGGCTTTGTGAAAGTGAAAGCTGAAGACTGTTTCATTCTGGATTCTTTTGGTTCAGATGTCATAAAACCACAAGATGCAGAAGAGAACCAAGGTCAGACTTCTTTTAGATGTGATACCCATGGTGAAGAGAACAAATGAGAGTCGGTTTCTGACTGTGATAGGAAAAGCTAGACATTGCATCATCCCAAAGTCTTTGAGTCCAGATGGGAAACCAAGAGAAAACAACAATCAGACTTCTTTAAAGAGTGATCCACGTCATTATGAGAACAAACCAGAGTCAATTTCTGACTGGGGGGGAGGGGACTGAAGATGGTGTCATCTCAGGGTCTTTACATACAGATGTCAAATCAGAAGCTGCAAGAAAAGAGCAGTAAGACTTCTTTGGACTGTGATCCTCTTAGGGAAGAGCACATATGTAAGTGCATGAAAAGATATAAAACCAAATGAAAAGTGGACCAGCGAGCTTCACAGTGTAACAAAACACAAATGGAGAGTGAATATTGCAGCTACAGAGCCTTCATCAGCACATTACATAAATCAACAAAACCATATGTACAGACATCTTCTTCTTCTTCTTCATCATTCCGAGCCCTTGAGGTTCATTGCTGCAGGTATCACCCACCTCAATTCATCTCTCTGGTTGGCCTTCTCTTTCCAGTTGGTGACACCAAGTGTTTGCAGGTCTGTCTGGACAGTATCTCTCCATCGTCTTCTTGGTCTGCCTCGTGGTCTACGACTATTCATCTCCCTCATGTACACAGTTTATAACTTCTCTGTCATCTGACATTCTTTCAATATGCCCCAACCATTTCAGTCTATTAGCTCTCATGATGCCAGTTGTCAGTGGTGATTTAAACAGATAATGAATATGTACAGACATGAATACACAAAATAGAAGACCAGTGTTAAATAAGACAACACTTGTAATGCTGTGTTGTGGATTTGGAATGAAATGTGGATCTGACAAGAAAGAACATTTGCATGTGTACAAACAGTATGCAGTCAGCGTCTACACCTTATGACATTTACCGCGGAAGACTTGGCTTTATGGAAATACCCAGTAAGCTACGATATCCATTCTTTAGTGAACAGTTTATCAGCAAGGTAGTGGTGTTACTGATTACTACTACACAAGAAATATTAAATATAAATGCAGCCAGACCAAACAGCATATGCGACTTTTTACCGCAAAACATCAGGAAGAAAGGTGAGAGGAAGACCAAGAAAGAGATGGATAAATGATGAAGCAAAGAACCTGCAAAAAGATGAACTAATCGATCACCCAAGCCACCCAAGAAGCGCAAGACAAAAACAGAAAACCATGATCCAGAGCTACAATCTGGTATCAGGGAGATGACAAAAACCATGACACTGGGCTACAACCTGGTATCAGTGAGATAACAAAAACCACGACACTTGGCTACAACCTGGTATCAGTGAGATAACAAAAACCATGGCCCTAGGCTACAACCTGGTATCAGTGCGATAACAAAAATCATGACACTGGGCTACAACCTGGTATCAGTGAGATAACAAAAACCATGACCCAGGGCTACAACCTGGTATCAGTGAGATAACAAAAACCATAACACTGGGCTACAACCTGATCAGTGTGTGTGTATATATATATTTTAATATTTATGTTTGTTTTCCAATATGATCATCATGTGTTACTATATTTACAGTGAACTGCATTTAGGAAAATACAATTTGAAATTTGAGTTTGTTTGACTCTGGAACAGATTTATTTAGTTTCCATTCTTTTCAGTGGGGGAAAATTACCTTGGAACTCAAACAGTTTGAACTGAAATGTCATCTCACAATAGATAGCATTCAAATTTTGAGGTACCACTGAATGTGATTTCAATTTATTATATATTTTTTCATTAGTATATGTCATTTCAAGTTAACCTTGACCAAGCATGTCCTAAGATTGTCTAGGGGTGTTTCCTGCAAGGTTGAAATACATCTGCCTAATAGGCAAGGAAGCAGAGGTCTTCATACAAAAAAAGCCAGATTTTTAAGACAGATGTGCGCCAAAATTCATTTTCTGGAACAAGACTGAAGCCCAGAAGGGGATGAACAACAAGAACTTTTTGCTGGAGATTGCAGCCCCCAAAAAAATGCACAGAAGAAGAAGAAGGCTTTTTATAAAAATTATATGTTCCAAAAGATGCCTTTAGCTTATTTGAGGTGTTATGAGCATTCTGAAAAATCCTGCTGGGGCTTATTCTCAGGTTAGGCCTTCGTTTCAGGTAAACACTTATATACTGGTGCAGATATTTCATGAGGTGTGTTCATATTTGTGCATGTTATTAAACCAGGTCTTTCAGGTGATTTGTGCCAAATTTTCTGATAAATCGTGCCATATAATGACTTTTTTGGAGGGGGTCTAAAATTTTGTTACCTGATGTTTCCCGACTGATTTGTACTGGGCTGTAGTTTTTTCTTCTTTCTCAGCAAAATATTATCTCTTAAGTATAAGTACTAAATTTTGTAGCTATGTCTTCTCTTGTAGCATGGAGAATGGATGTTAACTGATTGTATTGAGATTGGGGGAGCAGATGTTTTGGTGTTTGTATAAAAATTTGTGGAAATATACATTCAATGTTTGTATCAACATGTGTGGGAACAAATATATGCTGTTTGTATTAAGATGTGGAGAGAAACAAAACATTTCCTGTTTGTACTGAGATGTGTGGGAACATAAATCAGTGTTTGTATCAACATGTGCAGGATAAAGTATGTGCTGTTTGTGTTGAGATGTGAGGGAACAGACCTTTGAAGTTTGGGCTGAGATATGGGAGAACATACTTTTGCTATGTGTACTGAGATGTGGGGGAGGGGGGCAGCATACTTTTGCTGCCTGCGCTGCTAAGATGTGGGTGAACAAAAAAGTTGGGAGGGGGTTTCATAATTTTGGTTGGAGCCATATTCTGTAACTTTACTATGCAGATGACACAGTCCACTTTTTGAACAGTGTAATGGAAATAAAACATTTATTCAAAGATACAGTGAAGATCAAAACCTATTCTTGAATTTAAAGAAAACAAAACGAATGTCCACAGACAAAAACTGGTTGTCACCCGAAGATAACAATAAATGATTAATCAAAGTAAAGACGGCAAATGTGATATTGACCACATCATCCACTGAGCGTTGATTGGTCCATAAAAATATGGGTCTAGCCCTATATGCCCAATACGCCTAGAGGCATGAAAGAGGGTTCTTTACTTTTGTTACTTCACTGTTACTGGTACCATCAGTTGGACCTATGCACTTGCTGATGAAGATGGGGACTGACCACTTATGGGAATGTCGTTCTCATTGGGCTTCGCGTGATAACTCGTGGTCGTCCCCTATCTTGAAAACCTTGGTTAATCCGAGTATCTGGCTTCTCTCTGTATTATTGTTAGCTTGGGGCTTTCCCCACAACCTTCCTAATCAGGGTGAAAATATCCCCCGTTACAGTGGTATGTTGTTAAAATTAATATAATTGTACATGCTTTATTGTTATACTTAATGCTATTTTATATACTGAATGTTATTTTAAATGTAGTATTGTTATTTTATATGTGATATTATATCGGTCATATATCTATGATTTTAATTGATCACTGTTGTCTGTTTGTGACGTATTGTTATACTAAATGTTTTTTATATCTTTGTTTAATTTTCTATATGATATGATGCCCATTACACTGTGAAGAGGACAAGACTGAGTTCTGGTGTCCACATTCGGCTGAGAAGATAATGGCTTGATTATGGCTTGCGATTGTAAATATTTTTTGTTTGCTTACTCGTTGTACCCCAACAAGACATCACACAAGCGATAAACACCCAATGACACAAAGTGCCACTGTGCAGATGAGGATCACCTGTGGAGAGGTCCCAGAAACCCCTTTCAGCCATTATGGCCACAATCGTGGCCCAGCTATATTCAGGGCCCCAGGCAAAAGCCAGAGTGGGGCTTCAAATAATGAAAAGTTGCATCCCACAAGGGGACACAATATTAAAATAAGTTTTTTTCTTATGATCGGTCAGCATTTACAGCTTAGGGACTGGGAACTTATGTTCGCAATATCAACATACTGGAGGCAGTTTAGTATCTACTCAGCATTGATTTTGAAACTGGTATAACATCATGTAGTTCAGAAAGCAATGACAAACTACAAAAAGTAAAATTGTTCAGTACAACCACACAACAGACAACAGTCAGTAAATAGTATTAAAAAATATGAGCATTGTACAGTTTAGTAAGTATTGACAAGTTCCTTAATTTTTTTTTTTAAACTCATACATCCAGGGAATTCTTCTTTCAAATGTACCACCCAAGTGAGTGTTAGCGGGACGGTCTGTCTTGTTGATGTCCCAGAACAAACACTGGTTTCAATTGCAAAGTGGTTAAGCAGTTTACCTCTTGCTCTGAAGGTTTAGGTTTAGTTTCAGTCTTTGTCATCTGGTTCATAAATGTAGGCATTTTGAAGTTTCCTGGGAGTTCTCGCTAGAGGCATGTAGCTTTGTGTGACACTTTCAGTGAATCTCAGATCTGTGGTTTCACAGAAGGATATACTTAAAATTCCTTGGAGAGCCAGAATGAGTAACCCACATTTTTTTTTAAAGAGATGATGACCTGAAGATAGTGATGGTGTTGAATTGATTCAACTTGTGATTAATCACGAGAGACCAAGCCATTTGACATAAAACCCGGGGTAATGAAGTCAATGCTGTATAAAGAACATCTTAACTGGCAGCACCTGAAGACTCATTAGAAACTCACAGTAAAGTAGTGCAGCCAGCAATGTGGGCCCGTTGCTGACACAGATATCATATTTTCTCTAAAACTCATCTCGCATGACAATCTCTGCATGGTGTTGTCATGCATAACTGGGATGTTTCATTTGTTAACGCTTGTCTGACAACCCAAAAGTCTAGGGTTTCAGTTGTGTGCTGAATTGCCTTGTAAAATATATGTCTAGCCAGGGCTTTTTTCTGGTAGTACGCAAAGAAACACAGTCGTTTTCTTCTTCTTCCCTTCCTCTTACTACTTCTGGTGTCGAGGTAGATGTAAGGCTGTGCTTCTTGGTCTTCTGACGGCCTCGACCACAGACACCATGTGCTGTTGTAGGGTTTCTTTG